GTCAACTATCCTGCTACAGGAAAAGCTTCATGCCATTTATCACTCACATGCAAGTCAGGTCGCGCCTTATGGATGTTGGAATGAATAATAAAACCAGCAGCATTGATTTTGCTACCTCTTGGGCCCTCGATATACTTGCCATCATGGTCGACGCGGATTAGATCCGAGACGCAGACTCGTGAGAAGTGCTTGGCATACGGATTGATCCAGAATGTCAGCGGTTCTATGGGATCTTCTGAAAGTCAGCCCAAAGATAATACAAAAATTTGTTAAGAGGATTATGGCTTTGAACTCATAGTCTTAACTAACCTCGCAGACTGATATGTCCATTGAATCCGTCTGCGAACCCTTGTTTCGCAAATACCCTGAAAATTGCCACCATTTGCTCTTTTGCCCATTTTCTCTCATCAAGCTTGTTTGCGAACTTGGGTATGACGTTTAGATTAGTAGTAGGATCTTCAGGATCGTATCCTGCTGGCTTCTTTGGACCAGATAATGGTGTGTCAGTTTCGACTGGGATCGGAAGAAGGGCCTTGCCCTCAACGGCGATTGTCTGAGTGGTGGTTGCCATAGTATGTAATTCTATAGGTGAAAGGGTTCCAACCGTCGCTCGGATGTGAAACCCAGGAGGAGGAAGCACGAAGCAGTGATATCTGGGAATCCGTGACTAAATCTCACATGGCGTACTAGAGGTAATCGCTAGACTTGTTATCAGTGCGCATCATTTTCCAACCTTATCATCAATGTACCAAGATTAGAGGGGAATCGCCGCTCGTCGAATTTGAGCTAGTAGATACGGCTCCATTGTAATCGATTCCCAGTAGGTTGGAATCTCGGCAAGCCGGTGTCTGATACACCGCGTTTCCCTTTGCCCCTTTTGTCGAGGCTAAGAGATGTGGGGCACTGTAGACCAGAACAGACGTATGGACGTGCATATCCTGTGACACCGTCATATTTCAAGTCTTTTGCTCGATCCACCAATAGTCTCTAGTTGCATGATCCGAATTCTTGCTCGTATATTTTCTTATCCATTTTTTATTTTGATTTATCATTTTGCAAGTGTAAAATGAAAGCCGCGTTTGGATCGCAAAACGCCGCCCCGCTCTAATCTCAAAAGCATTCCTCATGAACCCTGTCATAGATTTGGGCACACAAATTATCATTGAGAGCTATACCGATAAAAGTACGATCTTACTATTGGTAGCTCTAATCTGAAAAAGTTTACAATATCTCAAAATCAATGAGATCTTTCAAAGATCTCTCTAAAACATCTATCGCAGTAAACAAATCCTCCTCGGATATGATCAGAGGAGGTGCCAAACGAAGGCGATTCTCAACCGAGAATGCGAGAACTCCGCGTTTCCTCAAGAGAGTACACAATCTCGCAGCGGTGATTCGACCAGATGGATGTGATTCATCCATGTTAAAGGAGCAGAATAGCCCTCGTCCAGTGACTTTGATCGTTGTATGAGGGGACTTGATTGACGACAAACGATCTATCAAGTGCTGTCCTAGCTCCAAAGACCGCTTCGAAAGATTTTCATCGAGGATAACATCAATCGCTTCCATGGCAACGGCACTGGCAAGTGGATTGCCAGAGAAAGTTGAGCTGTGTCTAAGTTGTATGAGCACTCACTGTATGTAACAATCTGAATCGGATTCAACTCACTCCCCGGACTGCATCTGGCCCATAACCTCTTGGGTTCCGACGACCATGCCCATAGAATAAACGCCTCCAGTAAGTGCTTTACCTAGAATGACCATATCAGGTTGAATGCCATCTTTTTGATACGCCATGAGATAGCCAGTCCTGCCGAATCCGCTTTGGATTTCATCGGCGATTAAAAGTGCCCTGTGCTTTTGGCAAAGATCGTAAGCCGCTTTTGCATAGCCCTCATTTGTTGGTAGACAGCCAGCATGTCCCTGAACAACCTCCATCATGACAGCGGCGATCTTATCTCCTTGGGTTTCGAAGGCATACTCCAGATCATCCAAATTGCTAAATCGAATTTTGCGTCCGTTCACAACTGGGCCAACTCCTGGCAAATAAGGGCCATAGCCTGTCACAATAGTAAGCTTTGAAAGCGATTATGCATTGTCAAGCCTGCTCATACCGTTTCGAAACTTCTGATTATTGGATGCAGAGAGTGGTCCTAGGCTTTTTCCGTGGTAATTATTGGTGATTGTGACGATTAGAGCTTCGTCTCGGGGAATTCCCTTGACATTGTAACCCCATTTACGTGCCACCTTGATGGCGAGATCCACAGATTCTGAGCCAGAGTTCATAGGAAAGGCCTTGTCATATCCCAATAGTTGACAGACCTTTCGGCAGAGGAGGGGGTAATGTTCATTATGATAGGCTCGCGACGCAATGGTCAGACGCTGACATTGTTCAACCATCACCTTCGTAATTCGGGGATGGCAGTGACCCTGGTTAACCACAGAGAAGGCGCTCAAAAAGTCGATGTATTTCTTTCCCTCAACATCCCAGAGATATGCCCCCTGCCCCCGGGTAAGCACGACGGGAAGTGAGGGGAGACTGGCTGCAGCATATTCGTCTTCGTATTCAATTAACTCCTGTGTTGTCGACCAAACTTCCGGTTTGAGAGACAATCGGGTCTCATTGACCGTGATGGAAGCTGTAGACACATTTGACATGATGAAGTGATATTATCGCGTTCAAAATTGCATCGTGAACATCACATCTATTGGCAGCTAGTATTCTTGAGTAGGCCTATAAGAATATTGCTTCGAAGTCTTGTACGCTTGCTTGCGTGTTAATGTGAATAATTCACTGTGGTCATCTTGGAGCGTAACGCTCTGAAGGAATCCAGCATGATAGAGACTAGTGTGGATGCCGTTGTCGCTTGGTAGCCCACGCTCGGGAAGTGTTACTCCTAGAATAGAAAGTCGAAACGCCGCCAGCGGGTAGCGCAAATGTGTTATCTAGACCTCTGAACGATAAGAGCAGCTATCTTGATGATCCACAAAGGAGTACTTTAGTGCCCGATGGCGGTCTCCGGGTAGTTCCTCGTGTCGAACCCTTGACCATTGTGCGTTTCCCGTTACCGTTGTTGGTATTGCCGTTATTATGTGCAACAATGCCGGAACAAGTGGAATTACGCTCTCGAAATGGCTGTGCCAATTGCAGGAAACGCCGACGAAAATGCACTGAGGAACGGCCCCGGTGCAGGGGCTGCGTCAACCGAGACCTGCCCTGCGAGTACACTACCGTCCGCCTGCGTTGGGCCGAAACAGGGGGAGCCACCCAGAAACGACGACCAGCCCCGACGCAGCGCAAGAGGATCGGAGTCCCGGAAGAGGATCATAACAGACGAGACAACAACGAATCTCAAGCCCATCTAGAACACTTCTTTCATATTCCTTCGGGTACGTCTTTCATAAGCAATGCCACGCTCATAGCTCGTCAACTTGAGGGCCGAGATGCTGGCGAAAGTGACACTGGGGTGTCCCCCACCACTGACGGAGGCGTTGAAGTCGATGTGGACTCAGACGCTGGCGCAGAGAGCTGGGAGCTGGTAGACGATGAAATATTTGCCCATATGAACCTTCCTCCGGATCAATTTACCTCGCCAGGAGAACGCATTGCGTTCGCATATTGGTTTAATCACCTATCTGGCGTTTTGCCAGCATATGACTCAGCGGAAAACCCATATCGTCGTCTCTCGACACTGGCTCTTGCATCGCCCGTCCTTTTAGACACCATAATCTCGTTGGCAACCGAGTACATGTATTGCCATGGCCGAGCTGCTCCTAATGTTGTCATGCAGCGCCACGACAAAGCACTCGCTTCGTTAAGGGAGGCACTCGTGTCTTGTGACAACCCAGCTGCGCTGGACGTGACTGGAGAGCAACTCAGTTCAAGACAAGCCACATTGGCTGCAGTGCTATTACAAATTTGCAATCTTGTTTTCATCGGAGGCTCTGGTGTCGACGTTCATCTCGCATGCGCCATGCACTTTTTAAGGGATCTAGACTACATCGAGAATCCAGTAGACGAGTTTTTACCCCGACTACTAGTGCAACGATTTGCGATGCTGGACGTTACACTTGCAATTCTCCGTCATCGCCGGCCACATCTGCCTCCTGGGTTCTGGCTATTTCTACCCGACGACAAATACGACCGTACAGTTCCGTCGTTCCGAGAGATGACTGGTTGTCCGCAACCAGTACTCGGCTTTCTTGCCCGATTAGCCAACTTGTCAGCCGATTTGCGCGATGCTACCACCTCAGAAGCGAAATATGATGCCCTTCGGCGTGCATCTACTTTGGAGACAGATATGCGTATTTATGCCAGATCTCGAGTTACGTTTCGTAGCAATCGACCTACCAAGACTCGTCATTTAGACACTCTTAGCCAGTGTTTCTACTGGTGTGCACACCTCGTCTTGCAAAGAGTCATATACCAAGACGCTCCCGGTTCACAGCGCGTGCAACAAACGATCGAAGAACTGGTCCGACTGATCAAAAGTATGCCGCCTGGATGTGGGCCAGACTCGTCGCTACCCTTTCCGTTTTACCTCACTGCGCGTGAGGCAATCAGTACTCAACATCGCACCTGGGTGAGAGAACGCAACGATATGTTGAAGAAAGTCTATCCTGGAAGAATTAGGGATGCACTTATGCTTCTGCTCGAAGAGATCTGGGAAGCTGTTGATGAGAATAGAACACAAAGAGAAACTCTAGACTGCGGGATGGATGAGACTATAGAAAGACTTGAGAGAAGCAGAGACTTTTGTCTGTTTTAGCACAGTGAATGAATGGCCATGCATCATATCATCGTATCATTCTATCAAGAGGAAAACTTCTCTATTCCCAAATGCACTCTATGCCAGGTCTGATATTCTGTAGTGTGCAGAATCGACCGTGCCAAATGAAATCGTTGTAAGTGCACTTTGTACTCTATCCTTCTCACACTGCTGCCTCAATCGCTCTCCTTGTTGCGTCCAATGTCTCGACTGGATCTGTTGAGTCGCGTGTTAGTAATATGTCCGGTAAGGCAGAAGATCGAACTGACGAGGGAGATCACTATGAATGCAGCAGCTAAAATCTCGACCTGCAAAGTTCATCTTGACAGGCTTCCCGGTAGTCTTTGCAACCACCTCATCGTGTACAATGATCCGCTCCACCTTCGGCTGAACATCCTCAAGGTTGACCCGACCGTCTCGTCTATGGGCAAAGTCAATTAGGTTCCTGTTCTCGCCGCCATTGTCCTGAGGTACTCACAGAATTGACATCAGCTTCCCTTCTTCGTTGTAGTAGATGTCTGGGTAAAACTCTGGAATGTAAGGAATGCCCATTTCTGCTGCCATCTTCTCCATGCGGGTCCCAGCAATAACCAACATTGGAACATCAAACACCTGAATAGCCCTCATCACGGCTTTGCAATGAGCTTCGCTCGCTTCACAGTATCGCCACAGGTAACCATGTGTCTTGATGTGGTTTAGTTTCATGTTCTCTGATCGTAACATTCCTTCGAGTGCTCCAATTTGATAGACGAGTTGCGCGAACAGGTCATCTGGCGAAAGATCGATATGGCGCCTACCGAATCCTTCGCGGTCAGGGAGTGACGGATGCGCACCAACTGGCACACTGTGCTTCTTCGCGAGCTGCACAGTCTTACGCATGACAACAGGGTCACCACCGTGAAAGCCACAAGCGACATTGGCGAGATCTATGAGGGGCATAAGCTCTTCATCAGGGCCCTATGCATTTCACCAGATACATTAGGTATGCGAGATGTTCATGATCAAATTCTCACGGCGCACTTACCATCTTCCACGATCCGTAGGCTTCTCCCATATCACAATTGATCGTCACGCGGGTGCGCTGAGAAGTTCCGGTGCTGCCCATTTTGCGTATCAGATTTCAAAAGTCGATGGCCTCTAGAACGATCGATGCCGCTTCAAAGAATACCGTCGTTGTTTATCGCAGCCTCTCTGGAGCTTTTTTTTGTTACACAAGATATCATTATTGGGTAAAACTCATCAAATTCAGAGTCGACTTCTAACCCTATGAGAACCAAGGCGTTTGTCATATGGGCTAGATTAAGTTGATCCGAAGTCTTATCTTATCGATATCCAACATAGTGGCTGCATGAGAGGTGATTCGCATTTCCATTTTGGGTTGCCACAGTACCCCACGTGCAACACTGGAGGTGGATCTTGCAATATTGGTGTCCAACAACCACAACCTTTCTTCTAGTCAAAGTCAATTAAGGGATCATTGAGATAAGAGTTCGTTTGGTCGATGTTGAATTTCTTACTGATAACAGTCCGGCTTGCACCTTCCGCTTTACCCATTAAAGCTAGAGCCCCAAGAGCAGAACACAACACAAGCAACTTATATGGATAATAGATTTTGATTCAACAAATCAGCTGTCTTCTCTAGATAAGATGCCTTTCAACCATGATGTGACTTATTTCTAGGCCTCCTCAGATGTCTCTTTTTGTTTTGCGCCCCATTCCCCTTCTAATTCCACCCAAAAGTGCATCCAGCAATGTGGCATATCCGGGGCGCAATAATAGCGTACTCCATTCTTATTCCAAGAAAGCATAGCATCTCTATCATCTTGTATTCTTGCTAGCCTCTTCGCTAGTAAGCTTACCTCTTCGCAAATGTATCTGCTCCTCCAATGATGAAAATACGGGGTGAGGAATGTCATCTCGGGTATCATGTAACGGGCTTAAGAGCTTGTCTCTCATGTCCATGCCAATGAGGGTGTATGCCCAGTCAACATGGACATTGTATACTTCAGCTGGTCCTCAGCGCCCCATTTGGTCATCTTCCAAGGACACTGAGACTTTCCAGATCTATCAGTGAGCGGCTGGAATGACACGAGAGCTTTGATCTTGTGTTCTAGCTCTGGTAACTGGGCAAGGTTAAGCGTCACTACAGCGTCTGTAGGGAAGCCACCGACAACTAATTGCTCAGGGTCGATAGGAAGTTCGGAGTCACTGAGAACGGCAGATCTGAGAGCCGCGACGTCGAATACTGCGGTTGGGGATTGGTAACGTGGAGCTAGACGATACTCAAGGCTTGCGACAAGGAGGTCGTGCTTATCAGCCAGCATTCGCGCCTGCGCGTCATCCATTGATGGATCGCCAAGCACCCATCCGCCGCCGTGCACAAGTACGAGTATATTATGCTTTTCACCAGGTTGATGTCCCACCGGGATGAATGCGATTCTTCAACGTCGGACTGAAGACGTCTTGATAGTGTTCGGCTCCTGGGCAGCCCAGAATTCCCGTTTGCGCCATTTCGGTACGGCAAAATCGAGCTTCGAGAGGACACGGAAAACGTAGGCGAAGATTGTATACCATACCGCTCCCGAATACGATACGCGCTGGCGAGTCAATGCCACTACCGCTTGAGATTTGTGCTGGGTTCCGGGAAACGGTATAGCCATTACGAGGAGTCTGAAGAACTTGGGCTGTACATGGTATCCTTTGGCGAGTGTATTCTGCGTAGCACTCTATTTTCTTTAGAAAGGTCTCTCCCGGATATTTGTTGAACGATGACTAAATGGGCAGTAGACTTGGTCCTGATAGCTCAGCACGACTCTTCTTCTCTTGCAATTAGGTCGTTGTCGGTCTGCCTTGCCCATCCCTCGGTGTCTAATCTACAGCTGGGCCACTCTGCCGGACGCCTCGCAATGGCCCGGAAGTCAGGAATGTCTTGCAGGCTTAGCTAACCATAACTCATAAGTAAGATTCCACCATGGGGAAAAAATTGGTCGAAGTGCACCTGAGAACTTCTCAGGTGAGATATTTCAAGTACTTATGATTGGTCGGACCCCTGAGTGCACACTAGCTTACAAACTACGTGATGCGCGGCCCCAGCACGCTCCTAAACCACCTCTAAATCGAATCAGCCAGTATCTATAGCGGTGTCCCGTTCAATGAGAGAACTCGCACGCATATAAAGTCTTTCACCACGCAAGCTATCAACTTTTTTCTAAAGCTTCGCGGATACAGATCAGTGTTTGAGGAAACTACTAGCCATTGTTTATATTAGGATAGTAGATTGTTGCCCTTGATGTCGAGCGTGTTCCTAATCGAAAAGACACCTGCGGAACATGAGCTTCGAGAACCGGCCTGTAGCATTGATAAAGATACCAATGTGTCAGTAGAGAAGTGAATGACCTGGTTTGAGGTTTTTGGTGGTCTCAATTGAAAATTAACTAACAAATAAACTCGCTTTCGTGGCTTGAAAAGGGCATTCGTGGTGATTCTGGGCTTTTTATTGGTCCTTTGCTCAGCTCCCCTTGATGAAGGATTACCTGTCAATGCCACCCTAATTATAGAAGGTAGTAGCCGCCCGTAGAATTAGGTCCCAATTCCCGTAAGAGAGCATGGAAGTAAGCGACACTCCGTGAGATTGTACACCTCCAGCGGGGTAATTCGCCTCGGAGGATGCAAGTCTATGGCGAGGGAAGGCTGCTTGTTAACGTTGCAGAAAGCCGTCATCTGAGTCGACGACCAGGCCATGCTGTTGCCTGATACACGCCACTTTCTTCTGACATCGTTATTCCTTCTAAGTGAATAATCCATCAGAAGCCTGGCAATAGGATCACTAACTTCTACTCTATTCCCGAATTCTGGATACGAGTAACGAAATTCGTCTCTGAGGGAGGCTATGTGTTTGCTTAGCATTGTCGTTCGTTCACAAACTTAGACAGGCACTCCCTTCCCCCCGGCCCCCCCCCCAAAGCCTCAATCCATTGCTCGAAGCCCCAATCCTGTAGAAATCGTGATTTCCTGCTGTAGGATTCTCACCCTTGCCAAACTCAGATGTATTTCGCCGGGGACATCGGCAAGGTAGCATTAGCTAGTCTACTCTATTCAGGATTAAGTAGAGACTATGCCGAAAGTCGCAGTCCTCTTGACGAGCTAATGTTTATGTTCTCGTGCGGAGGCGTAGAAACGGCCCTTTACGATTTACGAATTCAGTCCAAAGGTCATATGATAATGATATGAATACGGTCTTTATAATTATATATAAATGTGCAACATGCGACCTTCCCATCGACATGTGTAGGAGGACAAAGTAGTGCGGCTATATCACTGATCTCTCTCAATAGAATTTAGCTATGTTTTTTTTATCAAATCTCGGGCGCGTCGGAAGTTTTGCCCTAGGCCTTGTGGCCATGGGCTCTCTTATTGCTGCTGCGCCGTGTGACATTTACGCCTCCGGCAATACCCCATGTATTGCCGCACACAGTACTACTCGTGCCCTGTACAGTGCTTATACAGGTTCACTTTACCAAGTCAAACGTGGCTCTGATAATGCCACGACCATCATTGCACCTCTATCTGCTGGTGGTGTTGCTAATGCCGCTACGCAAGACAACTTCTGTGCTGGTACGACAGTAAGTAACCCCCAGGGTCCATTTCCACACAAAATCAAGAACAAATATACCACCAGCATACACCTTTAGAATCCAATTATTGAGTTTTCATCGTTTGTCTCAAAGCCAACCACTAATACCCTATTTCATAGTGTCTCATCACGATCATTTACGACCAGTCCGGCCGTGGTAATCATCTTACCCAGGCTCCGCCAGGCGGCGCTGCTAGTGGTATTGAAGCTGGGGGTTATGATAGTTTAGCTGGAGCAATCGGTGCTCCAGTTACACTAAATGGGCAGAAGGCATATGGCGTCTTTATTCCGCCTGGCACAGGCTATCGTAATAATGCCCCTAGTGGTACAGCTAAGGGAGATGCAGCAGAGGGTATCTACGCAGTTGTAGATGGAACACACTACAATGATGCCTGTTGCTTCGATTATGGTAACGCGGAGACCAACACTCAGGATACCGGCAATGGCCATATGGAGACCGTCTATTTTGGCACTGCAGGTGGTGGTACTGGCAGTGGGCCTTGGGTCAAGGCTGATCTTGAGAATGGCTTGTATGGAAGCGATAATTCTGCCACACACCCTGCACCTACAGTTAGCTTCCGGTTTGTTACTGCAATTGTTAAAGGACAGCCCGGGAACAACTGGGCGGTTCGCACCGGCGATGCTACTTCTGGATCACTAACAACACAATGGAACGGAGTCCGCCCGGACAATGGCTACAACCCGATGAGCAAAGAAGGTGCCATCTTGCTCGGTGTCGGCGGCGACAACAGCAACTGGGCACAGGGCACATTTTACGAAGGCGTCATGACCACGGGCTTCCCAACAGACGCCACCGAGAACTCGGTCCAGGCTAACATCGTAGCCGCCAAATATGCCCCAGGGTCGTTGGTCAGTGGCCCGGCACTTACTGTCGGGTCTTCGATCTCGCTTCGAGCTACTACTTCCTGTTGCACAACACGCTACATTGCACACACCGGTGATGTCGTTAATACTCAGGTAGTGACATCGTCTGATAGCACTGCACTCAAGCAATCGGCGAGTTGGACGGTTCGTACTGGGCTCGGTAATAGCGCCTGCTATTCATTCGAGTCAAAGGATACACCTGGTAGCTTTATTCGCCACTCCAACTTCGAGCTTCATCTCAACGCCAACGACGGGAGTAAGCTATTCGGTGAAGACGCTACATTTTGCCCTCAGGCTGGTCTCAATGGCCAAGGCACTACGCTTCGATCCTGGAGCTATCCCTCTCACTTTTTCCGCCACTATAACGCCGTGCTCTATGCCGCGAGCAATGGTGGAGTCCACGCTTTCGACAACCCCGTATCCTTCAATGATGACGTGAGCTGGGTCATCGGCGCCAGCTTTGCTTAACTTACGGCTTCCGAGGGTAGCCTGTTCGTATAGGTCGGTGGTTCCTTTTGCTCCTTCGTCGTCATTTCGTGCTGGAATAGGAAAAACAAGGCGCAACCAAAAAAATGTGGCTTCGATTCTATCGAGCAGGATCCTGATTGGAGCTGTGCTAGCTGCCAAGCTGTACGTTGGGGCTGTGGGGATAAGCTTACCCCAGCTCGCCTCGTCCTAGCCTGCCGCCTTGGCTGATCGGCATATGTATGTACAAGCCGAGGCCCCGGCAGCCTGTAAATACTTCCTTGCGGTGATCCTACAGATCGCCAAAAGCTTTCTAGGTTATTGGTTTATAAATTTGACTACAACACATCTTGGCCCTTGTAGATATTCTCTATACCAATTACTGACTGCTAGTCTGTTATTGCTCCAGTTCCTGCGATGTAATAATATTGCATTACACGTTGACAAATGTAAAGCTGTGGTAGCGACACCTGAGAGGTTTTCAGCTTATCGGCCCTTTATGCCACCTGCATGGCTATAGCGGAACTCTGGATTGTGGGCATGGTCATCTACCTAGGTAGTATGAGTCGCGGAAGTAACCAGAGTCGCTTTTAGAGGGCAATGAAACCATGGCAAACGTAACTTCGGAGTTAACGGTGAAGGATCGAGTATTATTTCAGAATGCTACTCTATGTTAGGGGCTCGGTCATGACTTAGCCGACTAGCGGCACTAGCCTACACGTCCTACTCCAGGCTCTGAACAGGATGATATAAGTTTACAAAGCAGTACCTGATCCGTATTTTCCTTAGCGCCATAGTAAGCAGTATGATAGACTTGAACATTTAGCAAAAGTTCATATCTTTACCAGAGAATGGTCGTCTCAAACTCTAGACCCCTTGAGTTGTTCAAATTGGGAGTGTTAAGGGTTTGAGCCTAGGCGATTGCCTAGGCGATACAATGGGAGTCTCTTCAGCAAATTCACAACCTTGAGTGCAGCTAGTGAAGATAAAGAAAGAAGTTGAACATGTAGTCAATGGTTGCCTGCGTGGCATGATTTGTCTGGGGAAAGAGAGGATCAAAAACCCACTATAAAGTCTGACTTGGATGAATGGTGTTTCCTGGGCTTTGGTCATGAGTGTCGATAGTGTTAGTCCAAACGGTGTTGAGGAAGCCGCCGCACTTGTCGAGGTCTAAAGCAAGAAACTCAAGTTCCATGGAAGTCGAGAAGTTGAAGACTCGGTTAATGCCGCCACCCATCTCAAAATTAACAAGAAACTCAAAAGTTTCTGTTTGTATATGATGAATCCCCACGAGATCAGCCAGTCTCCGTGGTCGGACATCGAAGGAGAAAGAGGATAGGCTACTAGTCGATGGTGAAAGGGACCACGCCCAAGATTCTGAGATCAAGAATGAACTCGACTCAGCCATGGATGCTGCATTTTCTCTGACGTTTGTTAGCGGAGTCGTCAAGCGAGCTGCCATCCAGGTTCAACATTGTAGAAGAAGTAGACACGTCAGAGCAGCAGAGTGAGCATACGGTATCCTCTATCCAGGCCGCCGAAGCTTGATCCGAGTGTGAGATTTCCTCTGTATCAATTCCACCGTATGAGCAAGAGAGCCCTTTGAGAGTGCAACTACTGCACGGCGCCTTGACCAGACTCGATATTAAGTCAATAAATCGGGAGCTGCACTTTCTCCTAACCTATCTAAAGTTAGCGATTGTGTTAAAATTGTGGCTGTTTTCAAGGTTGGTCAATGAGTTATGACACTTAGCAAGGCATCAAAAGGAAACATGATTACATACTAGAAAGCATTTCTGCCTTTGACTAGGAAGGACTACATTAAGGGCTATTTGGCGCAGATACCTCCCTCCTTAGTTAGAATCTCAACCATGTAAATTTATATCATTTGTACTTACTAGGTTGGATCTTCATCTCGAGTTGTGCCATCATGATAAGCGACGGCCATGCTTCGTCTAAAGTAGATGATACTTGAAATCCCAGTCCTTGATACTTGAGCCCGTCTGACATCCCGTTATGTCACCCCTAGCTTACAGATAAATCACAAACGTCGATCTCGCCATGTCAGTTTGGCTCCTTCTGCCTTTTCAAGAGCCCTTTCCCTAAAGCTGAGAACCGCGCTTGTAATCACAATCTTTGAGTTTAAGTCCGTATTGAGGTACAGATTATGCGAATAGGGCACACGAATGAGGATGACGGGGCCATGCACGTATTACAAAGCACTTTACTGCTATCCGGACAGTAAGACAAGGTCTGGTCGATAATACAATGTGTCATTCTATTTTTTTATAACCCTGTAGTCACTCAACTAGTTACCCTAACGCAATAGCCATGTCCTCCATTGCTCTTGCTACCGCCTCTTGCCTCGCCTGCTCATCCCTCGTGAGTAAAATGCCCCTGTCTCTCCTCCATTCCTCATACTCCGGCTTAGTCCTCCGCGGGCCATCATCACCCACACCCTCAGAGATAGAATAGCCTAACTTGTCCCATAGACGAAGCTGGTCCGCGAATCCACTATTGGGCGCAATCGAGGCACGCGATTTTCTCGCAAGAGCGAGCGCCGACTCATAGTCAATCGACTGGCTTCGCATCAGCAACGCCACAATGACAGCGCCGCTGCGAGACGTCCCCTGCTTGCAGTGGACGAGCACCTGAGGCTCGCGCGGCGCCGTTCTGAGCGCATGGTTGACCCATGCACATAAGCCCTCCAGCGACATCAAGATGTCTTCGTACGGAATATCTTCAATGGCCAGATGCTGGCGTTGAATGCCCAGTGCATCATCGATGACGGGCAAGTCCTTCTGGTTTGTCAGGCTCAAGACGTGTGTGATGCCGTGCTTTTGGAGAAGGTCGCCTGAGCGCGGAATTGATATGCTTTGGTTCCTTTAGCCACTTCTCGGAGGGAGCTATCTTAGAGGGGCGACACGCACTCTGAGATCCACAAACCTGGAATCTCCTTGATCATTGAGATTGGCCCATCATTGTAACCTTCCATTGAATATAGCAGAGATGGGCGATATCAAACGCAAGATGTTCGTGATCATTTGGCCAAAGTCTTCAACGTGTTGCTTACTTTGTGAAAGAGGCAGCCATTTTGACGCTCAGCCAAGCCAAGATACCTCGGACCCCGCCCTTTAGCTGGAAGAAGTCCGAAGTCAACTTACGTGACATTCCTCAATTGACGCTGGTGTTGTTTCAATGGCATGATTCTCCAAGAAGGTAGCTGAAGATATCTAGCACATATTACCGGAAGCGCATGCGAATCCATTGGCAGCGCTCCTTAATATCACTTCATGAGACCTTGACCGCTCATCACTGGGCGAGACTCAGTTTGATTCATCTGCGTCATATCAATTCGTATACCTCATCTAGAATTTGCCCTGCCAAGCGATGGGTTCGATGACCGACACCCAGAAGCTCGAGTGGCGTCCCAGTCTAGTCATCATAATACGCCTCCTCGTACTCTTCCTGATACTCCTCACGCGCCTCCTCCAGCTCCTCCTGGTCACTACTGCTAGCGTCCGAGTCCTGCGCATCAGCAAGGGCCTCCTCGTAGTCCTCGCGCGCCTCCTGCACCGACTCGCGATCGCTGCTGTCCACCTCGTCGCCATAGACGTCATGCGTCGGGAGCACGGGGGGAGGAGGAGCGTCGTAGGACTGCTCGTAGACCGGCGCGGCGCGGTGCTCGTCGTCGGAGTCATCTATCCCGCAGTATCAGTATTAGCATTCCGATCAGATGGCCAGCAACGCAAAGAGACGACCCACCAAGAGCCTCGTGCAGCAGCGCACCGCCGACGGCACCAGCGGCCAGTCCACCTGCTACGCCGAGCAGCATGCCGCTGCTGGACGACGACTTCTTCTCGCTGTAGCCCTGCTCGCCGTAGCCGCCGTGGCCGCCCCCGTAGCTATCATGGCCGCCAGCATAGCCGCCCCCGTGCTCGGCGGGGTAGCCGCGCGCGTCATGCTCATGGCCCTGCGAGGCCGAGTAGCCCGGGGCCTCCCACTGCGCGCGGCCCGTGGCCTGCTCGACGTAGTACCATCGCGCGTAGTGGGCGTCCCACTGGGGGGCCCAGCCGTCGGGGATGCGGGGCTTGTCGGAGGGGGGATTGTACGAGGGCGGCGAGTCCGACGAGGGGGGCGGCGGTGGTGCGCCGTAGCCTGAGGGGCCGTCTCGCGATGCGTACCCGGGCGATGACGATGATGGTGGTGGTGGTGGTTGTTGTTGTTGTTGGTAGTGGTGGCTGCTGTGGCCGGGACTGGGATAGGACGGGTAGTCCGCCTGGCTCGGGCCGCCGCCGTAGTGTTGCGGGGCGGGATAGTCTCGACTGCCTAGGGGGTGGTGGGAGGGGTGGTGAGCTTGGGATACCGACACGGACACGGACACTACGGCGTAAAATCTTAGGGGTCCAAGGTGAGGGGCAGGGTTTCAAGATTTTGGAGGTTGGGTAAGAGAAGGAGGGGTTCAGGTATAAGAAAATGTAAGATAACTCACTGGAATATCTCTCGTCGCGCTTCTTGTCGCCCAGGCCCAGGCCGTCAAAGTCGTCGGCAAGCTTCTTGAAGAAGGACATGGTAGATGGAGGAAGGATCTGATGGATTGAGCTGTCAAAGCTGTTCTTCTCTCATCTCACGAATCCGGCGCCCGCAGCACTGAAGAGGATCTGAAAGCTGGTGGAGACCTAATCTCTGATCTTATGAAGCTCTGCGCTTGAGCTGAGGCAGCCCGGGAACTTGAACCTGTGCTGTGAAACAGTGACAAAGCTGCAAGAGGACCAAAGGGGTAAGGGCACAGCGGGCACAAGCGTGGGGTTTGCTTCAGATGTTTTCTTTTGGCTGACTGGCTGCTGGATTCAGTGATTCACTGTGAGTAGACAGCCAACGGGCTGCTGGTCAGAGATTGGACAATGAATGATGGTGGATGGAGAGTGACACTGCGCGAGGAGAGAGGCGGATGAAAGAGGTTTAGGCCAGCATTCACACAAGACCGGCCAACTCACCTTGCCCAGCACTTAGAAGACAGTAGAGCACAGTAGAGTATGGTAGAGTATGGTAGAATACGTGTCCCAGTGGCAGCCAAGAAAGGCGCGGCAACAGTAAACGACTTGGCGTCTGGATATTCGGCATCTCCAGGACCCAGTCGGCAGAGATCGATATCTCTCATCTGCTGTTTGCCCCAGCAAAGCGTGACAGATCCCAGACTACATGTACCTAGGTAACGGTAGATAATACTAATCTAATACTCATCTGGTCGGCGGTTACATTACAGACAGGGTAGTTGGCCCCGCTGTTTCTTCTTTTTTCTTCTTTCCTTGTGTGTTCTTTTTCCCTGTGAAACTGAACCTTGAAACTTCCTCAGAGTTTACTGGTGGTTTTACTTTTTGTTTGTGTCCATCCACCATCCTCTTCCCCGTCCCCGTCCCCGGCAGCTCCTACAGCTCACGACGCCATCACAAAGCAAGCCACATCAAACAACCCGTCACTTCGACATAGCATATCACAATGTCGCAGCAATACCCCCAGCAGTATGATACTCCCATTCCCCATTCCCCATTCCTCACATGAGCTCTGGAGTGAGTTACTGATTTTATATATATGACAGAGGCTACTACGGCAGCCCCCCTCCCCAGGGCGGTTATCCTCCTCCTCAGGGCCCTCCTGGTCCTTACCCGCCTCAGGGACAGCCGGTAGGGAATTCCTTTCCTTTGTCCCAAGTCTATGGGCAAATATACGAGGGTCAAGTGCCTAACAAGTTGTTCTTGCAGATGTACTATGCGCCCCAGCAGATGCCACCTCCGCAAGAGGAGAAGAAGGACCGCGGTTGCCTTGTCACCTGGTATGATATATGACATCCAGCCCGATAGAATAGACTTGGTTACGCCAGAGCTAATAGAGGTTGTTACAGTCTGGCGACCCTGTGCTGCTGTTGGCTGTGTGGCGAGACATGCGAGTGTTGCTTTGATTGTTTGGAGTGTTGCTGCTAGGGCGGATACTCTGTGGAAACTTCACTTCACGATACCATCACGGGGGACTTTCGCGGTGAGAAGCCAGTGGCAATGGCAATGACAAAGGAATACCGACATTAGCTTTGAATCAGAAGAGGCTGGCCTGACCAGGCAGGGCAAATGGTTGAGGACAGCAGGGACGATGCAGGTGATCAGTATCAAACTCAACTCATCTTCTGTCTCCTATATCAATACCTACCTACTTTACTTACGCATTTCAACCACTTGTTCCTGGTTCATGCTGTGTGTGTGAGCTGAGCTGTGTGTGAACATGTCCGGTCTTCTTCCTTCTTTCCCATGCTGGCTTCCTTTCCTCTCTATCTGTCCTGGAATACCAATCTCGAATCATTCTGTTCTGTTTGCAAGAACTTGACGGATGCCCGGAAATGAAGAGCAGACGTTAACGTTATCCCCAGTGGCTCCGACACTTGACTGTGGCTGTGGCAGGGGCAGACCAACTTGCCTGACCCTGGACTAGTCTAGCGTACCTAGGCTCATCAGGTAGCACATGTGGATGGTAGGATAAGACAATGTTAGATGAATGCTACTCTATACCCAGGGAGAGAGTACCAAGGATTGATGAGTGCCCGAGCCACCATCGCCGTTAGCGGCTACACGTGTCCCCTGTTCCCCTGTCCCCTGTCCACCCTCCACTCCACTGCCCTCCATTCCAGGAACACCCAAGACCCCTAACTCGCTGTAGTCTTGCAGAAATACTGCATGCTCTGCATTGGTAGTGGGCGGCTCGGCCCAGATGTGCCGCGTAATTGTCGTAAACTGTATTGCGTACGCATACTGTAGCGAGGTGGCTGTTAGAGAGTGTTCCAGGCCTCTGAGCCAGCCCTAGCAGCCTGGCAAGAGCCTGAAGAGAACCTGGTAGGGTCCCTAGCGAGCCTAGGTAGAGGCGAGCTTGAGACATTTGGGTGACCCCGCGCGCTAAGACACAGACAGCAGCGCGGTACACTAGAGGCCAACTTCAGCTCAGCCCAGCTGAATTCAGCTCTTTTGTTTGTTCTCCAGCTCCATTGCCATCGCCATCGCCATTGCCTATTGCCATTGCCATCAATCCGTTCGCTGGACTCGAACTCTTCTCTGCCGCCTTAACCTTAATATTTCCTCCCCTATCTTTATCAATTCGCCAGCGAGAAGACCCCTCCTATTCGAGGACCCGATCCCCTTCCGAATACCGAATACCTACCCCCGAACTACCCATCCACACGATGTCCGGCTACCCTGGCCAAGGCGGCTACGGCGCGGGCAACCACGATAACTACCATGGCGGTTACCAGGGAGGTTATCAAGGCGGCTACCAAGGACAAGGACAAGGAGGCTATCAGGGAGGGGGATATCAAGGGGGTGGATATCAGGGTGGCCCTCCGCCTCCTCCTCCTCCCCAGCAATGGCAGGGCGGCGGTGGTGGACCAGGAGGACCAGGAGGCTACAATCAGTATCCCCCTCAACACCACCAATATCCTCCTCAGCATCACCAACAGAACCAATGGGGTCCTCCGCCAGGTCCCCCACCGCCAGGTCTCGATCCATACGGCTATCCCATGCGGCCTCCGCAACACCAGCAGCAGTACAATTCGGGCTCGGGAGGCTACGATAACTATCACCAGCGCAACGCAGCGCCGCCTCCCACAGGCGCGCAGGAGTTCGGGCATGGGGCTCCCCAGGGCTACACCTTCCAGTACTCGAACTGCACGGGCCGGCGCAAGGCGCTGCTGATTGGCATCAACTACTTCGGGCAGGACGGCGAGCTGCGGGGGTGCATCAACGACGCAAGGAACGTGTCGTCCTTCCTGATCGAGCGGTACGGCTACAAGCGCGAGGACATGGTGGTCCTGACGGACGACCAGACCAACGCGATGATGCAGCCGACCAAGCAGAACATCCTGCGGGCGATGAGCTGGCTGGTGCAGGGGGCGCAGGCCAACGACTCGCTGTTCCTGCACTACTCGGGCCACGGCGGGCAGACGGCGGACCTGGACGGCGACGAGCAGGACGGCACCGACGAGGTCATCTACCCGGTCGACTTCCGGCAGGCGGGCCACATCGTCGACGACGAGATCCACCACTGGGTCGTCAAGCCGCTGCAGGCCGGCGTGCGGCTGACGGCCATCTTCGACAGCTGCCACTCCGGCTCCGTCCTGGACCTGCCCTACATCTACTCCACCAAGGGCGTGCTCAAGGAGCCCAACCTCGCCAAGGAGGCCGGCCAGGGCCTGCTGGCCGCCGTGTCGGCCTACGCGAGCGGCAACATGGGCGGCGTGGCCTCGTCCATCTTCGGGTTCGCCAAGACGGCGTTCAAGGGCGACGACGCGTACCAGAAGACCATCGAGACCAAGACGTCGCCGGCGGACGTGATCATGTGGTCGGGCAGCAAGGACGACCAGACCTCGTGAGTAGCCCGCGTGTGTGTGTGTGTGTGACATGGTAGGAGGGTGGAAAAGCTGACATGTTTCATGCCATAGTGCCGATGCAACGATCGCCTCACAGGCCACGGGCGCCATGTCCTATGCCTTCATCTCGGCGATTAAGCAGAACCCGAACCAGAGCTATGTCGAGTTGCTGAATAGCATCCGGGAGATCCTGGAGGCAAAGTACTCGCAGAAGCCGCAACTATCGTGTAGCCATCCCTTAGGTATGTTAAACTATGTCTACGTTTGTAAACCAGCCAGGACTAACGCGAGCAGATACAAATCTACTATTTGTCATGTAGGAGTAGCTGAGGAAGTTAGGTCTGCAACATCACAGGATGAAAAAATAGACGAAGCTCTAAAAATAATGAATGTATGGCACAAGCACGTGTGAGAAGCGAATGTGTGTGTGTGGTTCTGCTTGTTATGGCGTTTTGCATCATGATTGAATTCAAATATCAACGAACTGGGTATGAAACAACCCTTGGAAACCTGCAAATCCTCCACATTCTCGCCTAGTACTACGAAGTCGAAAGAATAACAATCTGCCTTCCCTCCACGGGTAATCATGTTGTCTGATAATAATAATAATAAGGCCCTACACGGCCCGCTACTTGGTGGTGGCTCCACGCCCTCCTCGTCCACGGCCATCTCTCCCACCACCACCGTCGTCGACGTCGTTGCAATCATGGCCATCATAAACAGTCGTTTCGTCAGATCTCAAAAAGATCTTTTTCCGTTAATTTGAGCTCCTTGTTGGGATTGCGCCTTTTTCTTCTTCCCCCAAAGGCAAAAGCCGGTGGCGTTGTTAGTTAGTACGCCGGCTTCCTGTGCTTGCGGGAGAAGAAGTTGCGGATGGACTTCTTCACCTCGACGGAGCCGAACAGCCAGTCGTTGCTGTGCCGCCCATAAAAGGACGTGTTGCGCAGCTTGCGGCCCGACGTCGGGTTGACGAAGCGCTCCTCGGCGGGCGTCTCTGCGTCAGTGGGCTCGTAGTAGCTGATCCTGTTGGGTGTTGCGGTGGTGGCGGATGAGAAGCTGTGGGTGGTCGTGGGCGGGCTGATGCTTGTCATCGGCGGATGTAGGCAAGAATATGCCGGTTGCAGGGTGAAGAGATGTGTTTGTTTGTTTGTTTGGTTGATTGATTGAAATTGACGTAGAGTCTTTTGACCGAGGCTGGGTTCACGGCACAGGAAGTATGCGTAGATGTGCACCGTGGATCTCAGCTGAAGATGTAAGAGGTGGGAAAGATTGTTGAGGCTGTGACTACTACTACTTGCTAGCAGATAACTTGGTTGTTTGGGTATGCCTGTTTTGTTTGTTTGATTGATGGATGATCTTGATGAAGCTACAGACAGATTGGGAACCATTCTAGAAGCCCCGAGGAGGAAGGCTGCTTCGTTTTAATACTTTGGGCACTGCCGAGGCGTGTCTTCCTTCTCTTGTTGCTTTTGTTACTTCTTTGACTGTTTGCTCACCAGAAAGCAGAAACCCAGAGCTGACCGCGGGCCAAGACCGGCCAAGCACAGGGAAGTGGTCACTCTAGAGCCGTCTCGGCTTTTCGGCACGGCGCCCAGCGGACTCGATTGGACTTTAGGGAAAGTCTAATCCGTCAAGGCGCATTGAGGCTCTCGGCGAGGGGGTCCCGTGACGTATCCTCAGGTGGGAATTGACTGGGGATGGTGGAGTGGCCATCAGTCATAGGAACAAGAACCTTGCAAGATCCCATGGAATTCGTGCTTCTTGCTGGGGCATACATATCGTCAACCGTACGAGTTTGGCCCGTAGCCAAGAGATTGGCGTCGAAAAGCCCAATTGCAGAGGCGGTCTCCGTCACGATTTCACAGCCCATCGATCGTTCCGTTTGACCAACCGCCTGCACGCACCGTCGCACTCTGTCACTTGTTAGTTGTCTGCCAGTGGCCGGGCGTTGGTGTCTCAATGGTCTCACGGCCCCGAGGTCTCAAAAGGGAAAAGAGACTGCTGAGCCTTGTTATTGACCTTGGCGGGGTGAAATGATCGTGGTACACTGCAGCGATGGCCGCTCGCTGCAGCCAACGACAGGCCCCGGTGGCTGTTAGTGGGCTGCCCTGCGCCTTGCTGGTTAATCTATCACGGGTGCCCAACCCAGACGGTAACGGCCACTAACACTTGATGTGGGTGCCGAGAGAGACTTGAGATAAGGAATCATGCGTGATAGGAGTAGCATGTGCTGTCCCCGGCCAAATGAACATCGGTAGCATTATTGGCATTGATGCACACATTGCACTGTAAAGTGCTTGCGAATGAAGAGATAACAGGGAGGCGCAAGCCCCGGGTCATTCCCGCGCAGGCAGCAGACGCCGGGGCTTGGCGCCTCGTCGGGCTGACCGAAGGGCGAATGGACGACCGAAGCCGCGAGAGACGGCGTCTCCACTCTCCGCTGGGAATCCGTTTGATCGTCCTGATCAGTGAATCTTATCTGGGGCATGCTGGGGCATGCTGGGGCATGGTGCAGTCCACGTGAGACAAGCGCAGTGTCTATCCCTGGATCGATGCTGCGATCACCGCAGCGATGGTTTTCTAGAAGGACGCTTAGAACTGCCGGACCCCGACTCTCTAGATGGGCTGGTGCCGTTTTACCCGTCCGTGGCTGGTGTCGCCGGATTTGGTCAATGATGATGAGCCGGTCGGCCGAGTGTCTTCTTCTCCATTGACCACTGACATTGCGCCGTCGACACGGCTCCGATGGCGGTGCTCGGGAAGGATGCGCATGTGACCCTCTTCTCCGGTATCATGCATTTGAGAACGTCACTGCACCGGGTCATATTGATAATGGAATGCTCTTCCTCGAAATATGTCGTATTGGGCAGCAAGTCACTGAATGCAAAGGCTCCAACATGTGATGCTTTGCGGAGAACCACCACGACCGTCTCTCTATGTATCATGGTAGGCCAGGACACAGGTAGTCAGTCAACCGGCCAGTCGGTCATAAGCTCGTCGTTTTCACGTCTACATCCCATGGAGGTCGAGCCTCACTCGTCATCCTTCCAGCCGTCTCCCGCACAGGTCATCCAATTCACGCCGACCAGCGTCAGTCCATGGTTCCTTGCAAACTCGGCCGGCTTGAACGATCGCCTCTCAACAAACTCCTCTCCGCCGACCTGCGCCTTGCTCAGGTCCATGGCAGCAGGCTCCCGGTACAGCAGAAACAGATATCGATGCGGTTTTGAGCTAGAGTCTCGTCAGCAATTTGATGAATCGAGACGCAACACAGACGAGAGCTGTCCGACTCACTCGTCCTTGGGTCCAGGGCCAAGATACTCTGTCAGGGCAGGCTTCGTCTCGCCAACAACACCGCTGTCGCCACTCAAGGGCTGCAGGCCCGGTAGCACCCAATGCCTCCAGAAGGCGAACTTTGGGTCATCTGGCGTTGGCGCATCTGGGTCCGTGAGGATGAGAAGGTAAGCTCCCCGCGGGTTGTCAAGATCGTCCTAGCGCACAGTTTAGTGCCTTGAAGGCGATGCTCAAGCAGCAAGCGCTTGACTTACCACTGGCTGGAACTTGATTGTTGGTGCGACCTTGCACTCGCTTGCCCGAAAGAAGTTCCCCAGGTCGATCTGCTTGTTGCTGTATGAGATCTCGAGCTTCGTTTTTTGTGTGAATCCTTCCGGTATTAGCTCGCTAGCCACGCCGGGCACGAGCTTTGCCTTGGCTAGCGAGTCTGCCAGCGCTTGTGAATGCGATTCGAGTGACATGATAGCTGTTTCTATCAATGTCAAGGTGATGGTGACTGTAAGGTATGAAGGCCGTTCTTCGTGAGGCTCTCGGAAATGAGTGAGCTGTATGACGTCGACCGTAGGAGGACGCTGTTGCTGAGCCTAGAGCTCGGTATTTAGGCGGGGTTGCGTGGAGTGCAGAACCAGAAGGATGACCTCACTGGTGGAAAATCAATCATTGACCAAGACATTCGCTTTTGCGATAAATCAGTGAGAGACTTCGCATTCTCCCTTCTACATTTCAAGTATTTCTTATCATTGTCTCCTACTTAATTTCTCCCATTTTCCTTACAGTTGCTTCGACATACATCATAGTTCTTGTGCGGTCTTGGCCCACCACCCCTACTAACAATGATGCCTTCGATAGCTCGTGCACCATTCAAATTGATCAATATTTTCGCGACAGCATCTCACACCTGACTACTATAGCATTTATAGCATTTAAACACAATGCCTATCACCTCACACACCAATTTTGCCTCATGCGAGTTGCTTGACATGTCAATCCCTCATACAGGATGCTGGATTAGGCAACAACCCCCTGCCAGGATGCTGAGTGCTGTCTGATTTGCCCCATTGGCGCGAAGGATCAGCTAAGCCCCCAGGAGGCTAATAGTTGACCATGATGATGGCAACAAATACCAAACAAAGGCTCGGCCTGTAGCCCCTTCTCATAAGAAAGTTCACATATCTCGACACCGGCTGCATGTGCCGCAGAAGATGACTTCGTCTCTCGAGAAAACCGTCGGCGACTTTCGCGAATTGGTAGTACCGCCTTATGAGTACAAACCGCTAGACGATGAAGCCCAGGAACAGCGCTTCTTAGTCCTGCATCCCTGCCAAGGTGACAAGAGCTCAGAAGCAAACCACGTCCGGTGCAGCATCGAGGTGGAGTCGCTCCCGACGGCACAGCCGTTCATTGCAGTCAAAGACAGCAGAGGGTATAGGTTGCTCCACGGAGCCATCGAGATTGATGGACAGGGGCTTATCGTTCCTGTGGCCGTGGAGAGGTTTCTGCGGTACTACCGTCGCGATACGGAGCCGGTGCGTCTCTGGATTCGCCATGTGTGTCTGCTGGAATTCTCGAAGCATGAACAGCAAAAGTACTGGACACGCCCATTCATCAACTCCATGTACGAGAGGGCAACCGAGGTCGTGAACATGAATGAGTTCAACCAAGACATGATGAAGAAAGGCGTCTTCGAAAGAGTTCTGGACATCAGATATCAGCCATGGACCAAGATGTGGAGCGGCCGTCCAGATGTGCTCGCCCTCCCAAGAGTGTTTCCGATCAAATTGGGGAAGATACTGTCAAATGAAAACCCAGTGGATCACTACGAGTACGTGCCCCTCGACATGGTAACTGACGAGATTCGCATCATGGTGGTGATGGAAGCGCCTGAAGAAGATGCGCCTCTCGTGGTACACATTGGACAGTGCCCAATCCATTGCGAAGTCACATATCTGTGCTTGTCGTACATGTGGGGGGACAGAGAACCGACAGCAGAGATAACCCTCAACGGACAGCGAATGCGGGTTAGGAAGAACGTTGAGATGGCGTTGCGAAAGCTGAGAGGCCCCGATACTAAGTTGTGCATCTGGATAGACGCAGTTTGTATTGACCAGCTGAATTTGGACGAACGCAACAGGCAGCTTACGAGAATGTCGGAGATCTACGACCAGGCGATAGGCGTGCTCTGTTACGTCGGCGATTCAGATGAACATAGTGACGAAGCCTTAGATTTCGTCCCAGCAGTACAGGGGCCAGCCATGCGGTTCGATGACAAAGGTGACTGGGATATTACGAGAGACGGCGTGAAAATTGGACGAGATCAATACCCTCGCCTGTGCGCATCTCTCTATCGCTTCTTGACGCGGCCCTACTTCAAGCGTGTATGGGTTTTACAAGAAGTAGCGGTTGCATCAAACCCAATGATTGCATGTGGGGGACGGTTTGATACGAGCCTAGAGAGACTTGAGAATTCCGCTTTCCATCTGCAGGACATGATACATTCAGATCCAAGGCTGGCCGGTCAAATGAAATCGGTGGATGACACCCTGCTAGATGTGCGAGAAGAGGAACTTTCGTACATACGAAAGCTCTCGTATTTTCGACACCTAGAGAGCCGTGGGGATAGCGCCTGGACGATGATGGGAATTTCGGTTGCGAAGATCGGAGACAATGCACCTGGTTTCCTCGAGACGGCAATCTTGACAAGGGACTTTCAGGCAACAGATGGCCACGACAAGATCTTCGCCTTGTGGAATTTGGCTAAAGATAAAGATGGTCTCGACTTCAAAATGGACTACTCTGAACCGATACCTACGAGCTTTACCAAGTTTGCTGCTGCTTGGATCAGACAACATGGAAGCCTAGATATAATCGCCGCATCTGAGCCTGTTCCAGAGAGCAGGGACTTCTACGCCAATGCGCCATCGTGGTGCCCCGACTGGACGGTCCCCGCCAAGACTAGCTGCTTGCTTCGTCGCGATACCATCCCAAAGCGAATGATGAGGATTATGGATGACCTCGATGGGGCCGTATACTCCGCCGATGGCGGGATGACACTGGACAAAGCCAGTAACGAGCCATTTTTCACATTTGAGGGCGATGCCTTATACTGCACTGGCATCATTCTGGATAACATCGCCACTTTTTTAGGCGACCTCCCAGCGTTTCCGAAGGACATGCAATTCCCAATGGGCGACCCACAAACATACTTCAGATACGTAACTTGGATGGAGAAACTAGACAACTTTTACAAAGACAGCAACGTTGCTATATACGAAGACCCGATGCAGGCGGCTAAGGCCATGTTCCACGGCGACCTCCCATCGGCCTGGCCACGACGCGAGGAGAACCCGGGTAACTGCAGTGAGACCTATCCACAGGAGAAGTACGTGTGCAAACCAGAGCTGTCGCGCTATGTCAAGTTCTTTGCAGGGAGCTACAGCAGGCTTGAGGCACGCGATCATGTGAAGATGGTGCTCCGGGGTCGGACGTTGTGCGTTACTGAAAAGGGCTACATGGCTCTCGCTCCGTCCTACGTGAAGAACAATGTAGCTGAGAAGCCTTGGTTGCTTGCAATATTGGCGACATGCTCGGTCCCTGTGCTGATGCAGGAGAATGACGATGGGTCTTACAAGATTTGCGGAACATGTTTTGTACAGGGGTGGATGGAAGGAGAGGTTTTGAAAGACGAGATGGGTGTTGATTCACCAGCGGATTTCTGGTCAGCAATGGAGGGTAGCAGCAAGCTCAAGATTGTATGACCATTGAATGTAACAGTGTGGTTGGTATAGTTTACATAATCGATGCTGACAAGTGACGGTCTCTCACTTCTTCAAAACCTCCATCAATTGACCGACTCTCGCGTTGAGCTCCTGACGCCTTTTCTTGCCAGTCAATGGCACCTCTTTGACCAGCACTGGAGGATCTTTGACCGTGGCGTCCTTCAGGTAGCGGGCTAGCTGGACTGACGGCTCTTTTGGTTCGGTAGTCCTGGCTGACTTAGTCGTTGATACAAAGTGCTGCTCAATACCCGCAACTCACTTGTTGTCGCCGCTAACCTTTCCTGACGGAAATGACATCCGGAGGAAAGCTCGTTTTGTGTGAGGTCGCCTTCTTATGCTGGGGAAATTGCGTTCATATGTGATATCCCAAACGTAACAGAAAGTGGTAGATGCTGTGGAAGTTCACCGTCGAAAGTTCGATACACGCAGAAGGCAACCTAGATACTTTTCGCATGCCACTCTGCGACAGCGACCCTCGCGGACTTTACAAAGACAGTCGAGTCCATATTGTTTATGCGGCTCAAAGTAAAGCACATCTGTGGGCCAGGAAGTCCAGGCCATTTGGCTTGTGTGTGAATTGTCATCTATGTTGCCTGATTTGCACAACTGAGTTGGTTGGATTTGTTGTCGCAGGCAGATTGTGTGCTGGGGCGCCCCTCAAGTGGTGCGTTGGCTGAACGCAGAATTGTGCGCATCTTCCACTCTAAGAGCGATGGCCGTATAAACGTGCCAACATAACATGCCCCCCGCTCCTAAATTGAAGCGAGTTCACCTATGCCATCATCTGATAGAATACACTACAAAATCATATCATCCAGAAGTCAATGCCTAGAAATGAATAAAAATTACGAAGAACAAGGAAAGCTGCCCTTCTACCCCGTTGGGTCGGGCACTAGCCAGATATTGATAGACTTGGTACTTCGTGGTATGTCTTTGTGGTCATGCAACCATTGGCTTGCCATTTCACCCACCATTCTTACGCTTTTCATAGTTGAAGAGGACATATATTCAAGCCACAACCTCCAGGATCCAGACCACCTTCTTAGTCCGGTCGGGTTACTCGAAGAGAACGCACAGACACAGTGCTATCCGACAATTGACCCTCAGTATCTCCGTGATATGAGGTTAATTGAAGCTGAATTTGATATTTCTTTGCAGACCAGAAAGAAATTGCCGCGAAGTTATCCTCGAAGAGATTTCGGCTGTCAGTGTGGTATTCGCGTTGCTCCCGACGTCCTGGTTGATCCAATGTCATCTGCACTAGGAGGTGGCGGAGAATATGCGGGTAGCTTGCCGATTATTGATTGTGATATGTCAAGTCAGACACCGAAGGAGTACCCATATGATCAAGCTTTCGAATCAAATCCAATGCCTCCTGGAATTGAAACCTTCAGTTCTACAGTCGATGATCGCGATATTCTTCCCCAAATTCCACTAGAAGCCATGGAAAAGCTTTTCATAGGTAACAATCCCACTGATGGGAAAGTCACACCCAGAGGTCAATCGCCACCGTGTATCAATTTGCCCTCGATGGAGAGATATTTAGACGAGACTATGGTGCTGGAAGATTGCGACAACGACAAAAACAAGTTCGAACGGTCCGACGAAAGCACATCAGATACTGCCTCAGTCTGGATGTCTGACTATTCAGACACTTTACCAGTACTAAGTGACGATCATCCATTCTTCCAAATCAAGGATGAGATCGTTGAAAGGTCTATCGAATACTTTAGGGCTCAGCCGTCACCAAATGATGCGTTAGACCGAGAAGAGCCTCGAAATCCAAGTCAAAGGGGCGACAACACCCCGGCATCTCCAGATGATCAAGAGACAGAAACGAGTCTACATGACTGTACATCCCGGCAAAAACGTAGCCGGGGCACTTCCACTCGATATGAGGATCAGGACTGTACGAAAATCCAGGATCCGCCGCCCAAACGACCTCGTACGACCAGGCAGTCTACTGAACTAGAAGGTTCGTTTGCTTGTCCCTTCGCCAAAAAGGACCCCGCCAAGTATCGCAAATGCAATACATACATCATGAAACGAATTCAAGATGTTAGGCAACATCTTTTCCGGTACCATCAGCTCCCGATATATTGTCCTCGATGCAAGGTTATATTTGCAACTGAAGCCGAGCGCAACAGTCATGCAGAGGAAGTTACTCCCTGCGAAGCAAGTAATAACATTGTGCACGAAGGAATCACCCAGGACATCAAGAAGCAGCTTGGTCAGAGAGCTCCCTCGGGCATGACCCTAGAAGATCAATGGTATGCGATATTTCGCATTCTCTTCAAACATGAGCCCCGCCCAAGGTCTGCTTTCCTCAATGCTGGCCTGTCTCAAGATCTGGAAAATTTTCAGGACATGATGGTGGTCAAAGGGCCCAAGATATTCCAGGAAGTTTTGGATAGGCGTGGAATTGAACTGAGGTCTGTCACGCGCGACGAGTGCGAAGCATCAGATTTGCTGGAACGTGTTCTCAGGGAGGGAATGCAGTCCTTAGTTGACAACTTGACGTTAGACCTTGTTAAAATACCGACCGGTTCGTCAGCCGAACACTCTATACAGTCTGCGGATGAGTCAACGCGTGTGGCCGGAGTCCCATCTTCCTTGGAGTTAAGGGAAGGGAGTACTGCTAGCAGCATGGATACGCTAGCTAAATCGCAACAGCTTCTATCACCAAGTGCCGGACATATCGCTAGGGAGTCTGAGACTCAACAATGGGCTGAGCAGCCTCCATTTTCTCTGAGACAGCCAATCGTGACGTCAAAGGTCTCGGAATTTGCTTCTGACCAGTCGGAAATATATTTAGACGGACAAAAACAAAGGACGCCTGATTTTATTATGGGAGAAGATTCGTATCTCAATCACCAGCAATTTGACACCATCTACGGGGGGATGCCGCCGCAGGTATTCTCATCAGACTATCTTACTCTTTAGATACAAACAAGTAGTGCTACAGATGTTGTCTTCGTACTCTTGCGTCTTTCGAGCTGTGTTCGGTGGATCCTCATCCATGACCTAGTGAAAAGTTAGGAGGGCCAGAATTGAAGTCCATAGCAGATATCCTCAAGATGATTGCCCGTGCTTTGCTTTCAATTCCAGCACTGGACACGAAGCTATCATCAGTTCGCTTAATATGTCTCGCAATCGCCTCCTACCGGATTTGTTTGACGAAGAGAAGCTTTAGGTGGGCTCTTCGCTACCACTGTCACCCACGTCTTTGGAAATTTGATGGGGAGACTGGGCACTATGGGCGGATTTTGGACTCTCTATTAGAATGACTCGCTTCTATCCTTGCTTGTCTACGGGATAGCCAAGTGCCTTCGTTTCACTATCGGCTGCTTAGTCTGCCTGCAGTCACCTCTCGCTCGCCCGCAAATTGGCTTTTCAGAGTGCTTCTATCCGATCGGAGAATTGAAGCAGTAGTTTCAGGGTTTGCGGTTGTAGAGTGTATTAACTCTCTCCTTCTACCGAAACAGGAGTTGTTTCTACGGAAGTTTCTACGCAGTCGTGCTTTGAGCAGCACAGATCTGACATGATGCAGGAAAGTGTAGTTCCTTTTCATGTGATGCTCATATCTGCATCTCTTCTAGAAGAACGACGCAGATTGTCACAAAAGAGATCATCAGCTCTCTAACCGGAGCAGGTGATGCCGCCAGGGCGCTGCTCGAGTCTGAAGTGGTCCTTCTATATACTGGTGACAAGACATATGAAGTGATGGTTGGGATAGGGTCACCATCGTATAGGACTCGCAAGGTCGTTGTCTCGACTGACACTATCGAGTATGAGACTGGCGTCGGTAGGGCCACTTGCAGGCTGGTTGACGTTGGAGCAAGCTCAAACTGCTCGGGGAAATAGCGTGCCCAGATAGCAGCGAGTTGACCGGATGGCATGGTGGAGAATACTGCGGTTTTAGTTGGCGATTACGTCTTTGATGAGCTCGTTCGCCGTGTTGTAAAGACCAGTCGAGGGTCCAGCGTTGCATCGTCAATCACGGTCGCCGCCTCCACGCGCGATTTTTCCAAGCTACTTGTATGTTCGTTCCATCGAGAGACAATGGATGGATCCGCAGATGTAGTCTTCGGTCCATCAGTGCTAAATGGGTCGTTTTGTGGGTTCATGTCCGGCTTCGTCGCTTCGTCATATGTCAAGTCAATTGTACGTTCTTGAAGAAGAAACTTGGTGGTGCGGTTCCAAAATTCGGGCAAGAAAATGCTGTTGTTCTGCGAGAGAAATTCTCGAACAATGGGTGCTACTTGAAGCTCTCGGGGGAACTCTGGTGCGGGTGTTTCTGCTCGGCATGACATAGTTCCCCCAGCATCACCCACCACAATCATCGTAAGCCCCTTAATTCCGCATCCCAGCTGGGTCAACCTCTCTTGACCTATATTACTTAGTTCTACACCAATTTCAAAGTCAGATTTTCGAAGAATAGACTGCTGGTAAAAATCCTGGTTGTTCCTTATTTCTGCTCTAGAAGCGAGGCTGTACGGGCCCGGGGCGACGGGTACGCTCTTAGGTCGAGATATGAAAGGGCCAGTGACGATGCATGACGCTTCTTGCCACAAAGAGCAGCAGACTAAATATGATGCGAAGCGTCTCATGATGAGGATTTCAATGTAAGCTGTGCGAAGTGACCGAGATAACCAAAGTGCTTCTGTTATCATTTTAAGAGAAGGTATATGCGCCACAACCTTCGCATCTTAGCAGGCCAATTTATGTCGCCTTAGTTAGATTAACCTAATAATATGACTTGTATTAATCCTATTTTCAGGTGGCGGGCTGTCGTTTGGGCCATATCCCATGCCCGGCTTGCACTATTGACGCCATATAGCTTGGCAATAGAGCAGGCTGATAATCAGGCGTCGCGCTTGCTAGTTTGGGAGGCTGAAATGCAGACTCAAGATCAACTAGGCGTTTGGCATGTGACAGTTGGTGGTAAAAATTGGCTTGGCAGCAGCTAAGTATTTTATCAAACAGTCATAAGGGCAGATTCACTTTCGGGTAAGAAGTATCCAGGCCGCTCCCTGTGCCGAGCCAAGCTGACCCCATCACCTTGTAGCTTTTTGAGGCGGGACAAGTGAAATGAGGGCTTCTGGACGTATAGGAGAATGCCTACCGCAGAGCCTTACCGTGCTCGAAAACGCCTTGGTCCTTGGTGCTAGATACAATCTGTAATCACACAGACGACAAATTTGTGTTTTTATATGCTTGAGTCATACTTGGTGAGCCATCCGTCCTGATACATATATGAGGTGAGAATCAGAATCGAAACTTTGAGACTTGTATCGAGACGCCGGAGAATTAACCGGCTTTGCTTTGTTGCTTTTAAGAAACAGGGATTCTAGGAGGACAATTGACCTGAACAAATAGAGGGAGAAGAGAGAATACTACCATGATCTAGCTGGTGTGTGTACAGGATATCATAGTTATTCCAGTGTAGAAGTTCACGGAAGTGTTCGTGAGGTGATAAAGCCGTGCTCTACTTTCAATTCCAACGTTGGTCACGAATCCACTACTAGCTCACTCAAAATCCCTCTCAAGTGCCCACCGAGTAGCGAGGCATGTGTCTCTCCCGCGACTTCCTTATATATGCTCTTTATGAGGCGTCGAGCAAGGTACAAGCCCATGCTTGGCGGTGTATTGATATCAGCGCCGCCGTACCAGAGCTTTACACCTTCATACGCAACGTCTTCGATGTCAAATCCCCAGGGCCGTGTCAGTACACGCATATCCTCGACGTGCGCATCAATGCCCTGAGCGTAGTATTGTCTGAAGACACGCACAGCGCTCTGCATGGGATCTGTCTCCATGTAAGCATCTGCTTGAGCAGCATCCATATATGGGAGCAGGTCCTGGCGAAAGCGGTTGGCCATGGGCGCCGGGTCCGGATCGCGCGCCAAGGAGACATAGGTATCGCGTGTAGTCTTCAGCATGTGTCTAGGCCAGTACTTCATCATGTACATTTGGTACATGATTTTGAGAGTTTGGCCACGCCGACCGGCGGACCAGGGAGCGACGCCTGCGCCGATGCCAACACCACGTACCTGTTCGCGGGGCAGTGTCTTGGCGCACGCGAGTGCGTACGCTGAGCCGCCGCTGACTCCGAGAATGTAGTATTGCTGCAGGCCTAGGTGACGGACCAGCTGGCGAATGTCGTCCACGTAGCCGAGAATGGATCGGCCGGACTGAAAAGTGCTCTTGCCAATGCCGGGGCGATCGGGCGCAATCCAACGGATGCCTATGTCTTTGGCCATGTGGTCCTCTTTGCCTTCAAGGGTGACTCCCGCGTCAAGAACGCCGTGAAGGTAGAAGACGGGGATGCCATCAGGGTCGCCGTAGACATGGAAACCAAGCGTGCGGCCGTCGGCCAGTGCGAACGACTCGCCTGAGCCGGGATTTTCCTGTCTTGCAGAATTCACCGACAATTGGGAGCTATAGCAGCGGACAGTTTGTGGTGATTTTCTCGCAAGCCCACAAACAAGTGAAGATGCCAACGAGCGTTGTAGTAAGGATTGTGGCGACCGGAGCAGTGTCCCCGGGCGGGGTGCGCCGTGATGCAGGCAACGCTTGGGGATATTCCGGATCCCTTTCGAGACAAAGCCGGGGCCTCGAACCGGAATCCATCCGACGAAAGTGGTTGTACTCATCCCGGGCGGGTTTTGCGAAATTTGGAAGAGCTAGGGAGCATCGATGGCACTTGTTTGGACCAGGACCAATACGCAATGCTTTTGCTCAGTGTAGAAGGATCGCGCTTGGGCCATGTGTGCACTGTGAAATCCCACTGTCGCTGAAGTAAACAAGAGATGTGTCAAAAGAGAGGACAGGAAAGGACAAAAGTCATTGTATCGTCTGCTATTGCATTGTTATCTTCCAGACCGGTTCTGTAGTCGTCTGCCCCTTCTCAATTCGTCGTAAAGCTTGTCCTGGAGTTCCAACTCATGGTCACACCTCAATACTTTACTGAACGTGTCTGTCATTCTACTAAATACTAACAGCACGACGCCTCCCCATGTCCACAACGGAGAGCCACTGCAACATCAGGGTCGCCCATCAGTCACTGTCATCCTGCACGCCAACCATCTCGACCGAGGCCTTCCACAACCTCGCAGCCTTCTCCCCATCAAAAGCCCACGGCGCGTATCCCGAGTCGACCATACTCAAGGGCGACGTCGACGGCTCCGCAGGGCCCTGCTCGGCGCAGTTCGCCAGAAAGCGAGCACCGCGCCCCTCCAGGGCCTTGCTGATCGCCGCCCAGACAGTCGTGGCGGCGCCCTGCTGCGGGCTCTTCATGTACCGCTGGGACTCCCTGTCCTCGGCCGCCTGCTTGAGGTACTCGGCGGGGAGGTACTGGCCCAGGTTGGTCGAGATGCCGCCCGGGTTGACGGCCAGCGCATGCAGGCCCCTTGCCGCGTAGCGCCGCTCCACCTCGGCGACCAAGTAAATGGCTGCCGTCTTGGACTGCCCGTAGGCGGCCCAGGGGTCGTACGAGCCCTCTGCCTCGAAGTTGAGGTCGTCGAAGCGGACCCCGCCGACGCGGTGGCCCATCGACGACAGCGCGACGACGCGCGAGTTGAAGGACGCGGTGCTACTTGCCAGTAGGGCGGGCTTGAGCAGTTGGAACAGCAGGAAGTGGCTGAGGTAGTTGACGCCGAGCTGCGTCTCGAAGCCGTCCTTCGTCCGGCCCAGCGGCGGCGCCATGACGCCTGCGTTGAGGATGAGAATGTTAAGCCTGTTGGGGCTCTTAGCTAGGAAGGCCTTAGCTGCTGAGCGGACCGATTCGAGCGAGTCGAGAGACAGCTCAACGAGGTGCAAAGCCTCTTGCTTGCCGCCGCGAGACGAGTTGGACGACAGGATATCGTTCACGGCCTGCTGTCCCTTCTCCAGGTCTCGGACTCCGAGGAAGACCGTGGCGCCGGTGGCGTGAAGAGCCCGTGCCGTCTCAAGCCCGATGCCCTGGTTGGCGCCTGTGATGAAAGCGACCTTGTCATTCAGTTTGTCGATCAGACCTTCATCTTCCACAATTTGCAAGGCTGTTGGCCGAGCATCACCGGGGCCTCGAGGGTTTATGAAAGTTTCTTGATACTTGGACATGGTGAAGACGCGGTAATACGTATAAGGGATCGATGGTGATTGGAAGCGGAGAATAACTAGTTAAAAGGGACCCTAACTTATACTTATCTCGAGTTGATCGTTAGAGAACATCGATATTTTATATAGCCTTTCTGTTCCGTTTGTTGTCGAGCATGATTACCAACTTGGTAACGACAAGGAAGCAAAAAAGTTCCGTTCCGTCATTTCGCTCTACGCATGTTATTATTTGTCATCTCGATGGTTTGTATAGTGCATCTCTAGTTTGAGGAAAGCCTCAATTATTCATCCTGCACCACCCGTCGTGATGGTGGCTGGAGAACGAACCGACCGAAACTACGGCGGAGAAAGACTCCCCGGGCCCACCCAGCTGAAGCCACCTAGCCAGAGGTATCTCCGAGCCATAAACACAGCAGCACGTAAGCCAGTCAGGTTCTTCAGGTGGCTTTGGAGAAGCAGCGGGTGCCGTCTAACCCGCCGTTGTTGTTTCTTCATAAAGCCGAAAAGGGCTAGACTAGGATGACTTTCAACTCCATGCATGACTGACTCGCAGGCGTAACCTAATATAGACTAGAAGCATCGTAGTGTGGGCGCACAGACCAGCCCCGAGTAGAGGGCTACGAAGAGTCGCTTATTCCCCCCAATACATAAATCAGTCTCCAATTGTTTCTCCGCTTCTCACTCTTGTCTCTCTCACTCTTGCCCCTCTCAGAGCAGCCCCTATTGGCTAGCGTCTGGTTATTATCACACCAGACTAGGCTCGACTGTAACTAGGGGAAAGCAGGTCGTGAATTCGTATCTTATTGTTATAATATATTACTTCTTTCTCCCTCAGAATAAGCCATAATTAAGTAATTACGTCGTTTAGTCTAACGAGGTGACACCTTGCTACATCATCCTCATTCTTCCTCCTCCCCGTCCCTCTAAGAGAGACATTCCCCAGCGAGGCTCCCTAACCCAGACCTCCATCTTCAAACCGCCGTTCCGTTTTCTACAATGGACCACTGCGTTTTATCTGAGCCACCAGCATCTTGACTAATCATCAGCCCACCCCACAAGGCATCTAGTTATAATTTTGTCCACTTTGAAATAACATAAGTAGCTTCTCCCCATATCTCAGAGTCCACACGACGAACTCGAAGGCCGACCATGTTGGTCGCTTCAGTCGATACCCCTAGAAGAGGATACTCTAGTCTGCTTGCTAGCTATCTTTCAACCAAGCATAATTCCGGGGGTCTTGTCACCCGGATGAGAGGGGTTTCACTCGCGCGGGGAATATTCCGGCTGCCCCTTGCGGTGTCTCCTCCATCCTGGAAGAACCTTCCCAGATGTTGTCCTGCGGCCTTCATCGCATACCGGACTGGACACGTCCACTGAGCTGGCCGCAGGTGTTGTAGACCCTCATTGAGGCAGAGGGCTGACCTGTGTCGTCGCCAAGAGCCATAAGGAACTGTTTCTTTTCTCGTTCCCCCTCCATCTGGTCAATATTCAGCCCTTTCATTCATTCTGTAGCACCCAGTAGCTGCGCGATGGACAACGCAAGGCGGCGTGAGAGCCATGACACTGTCCCGGACCCGGCAAGGACTTTGGCGATGAAGAGGATGGCAGTCTGAATGGCTATGGTGGGGGGGCGACATCCAACAACGTCATCACCGACACATGGCCCATGTCGTCACGAGAGGCCGAGCTAATCACGACGACCACCAATGCGGCGCCGTCGAGTCTGTATCGACAACTGCAAGGCCGATAAAGAGGAGTGATACTAGTTCGCAGGACACCGGCTATGGCTGTCCGGACCCGCCGGCGTGGTGTGGCTACCAAATGAACGGAAAGCAGCCGAAGGAGCAAGCATGTAGGTAAGTTGTCATTTCACCTTCCATAGTGATGTGATCTCACGGCGGAAGAGGGTATGCATGGACGGAGGAGGGTGGGTGTTGGGGTGATAGTCGCTTACAAGTCTTACGCAGCAGCACTTAGCACACTGTCGTCTGATCCGATATCTTAATCCATAACTGCAGCCACCAACTTGGCTGGCCGGCCGCGAGGTCATTGACTCAGAGAAGCTATACAGACAAAGTATGAGGCTGGCGGTGTTGTTCTCCCGCTTGGAATGAGATTGACATATTAGCAGCGTCGTTGAACCCGCCCATGTCAAGCCAGGTCGCGAGATATATAAGTAGGTACTGGCGCGGAAGCTGACAGACTCTCAGAATAACTATAGTAGTGTTTTGTCCTCTCCACGTTTGGTATCTAGGAAGGAATATCCAACCGCATGTGGGTCTAAAGGATCGTGTGCCTCTCTCATACATCGATGAGGAATAGCACCCGAGCCCAATGATGGTAAATGAGCATGCCGGCATTGTAAGCTAGACTTGAAGGTACATCTACGGGGTGTACAAATTGGGTCTAATGCGAAAGGATCGAGGTGCCGCATTTAGCCCTGCTCAGAATTGATGACTGGGCTCTAGCACGACAATGTTGCGTAAATGAGAATCATAAGTGTGCGCGCCACAATTGCGTCTGTAGTTGTGCGCAGCCCTCTACGTTTAGCATTTCTCACGTATATGTACTAGCTTAAAATTTGAGCGTCAAATCTATCATAGGAATTAATCACCTCGATCGAGCAGGCCTCGAGCAATATCAATTAATTTCTATTGACCGGAAACACATGTCGACGGTATAAACCGGGCGACAACTCGCCATGACCGCTAATAGATCATAGCGACTAGTGTAACCAATCACTCTGGCAAATTGCAATTATACGGATAAGTGCGCGCTTGAAAATACTCCTATTTAGAATAATCGAATTTAATGTCGAATATTGGTACACAAAAGACCTGCTGTGAAAGCGCGGTATAAACGTTCTCTTAACCGTGTTGAATTAGATTACAGCGGTGATACCCGGTGAGACTTTTCCAGCTCCTTCATTAGCTCATCAAAAAATGCTTTCTGGATACGAGAACCGATCTTATTGGTGACATGAGAGGCTGGCCTAACGATTTTATCAACGAATCAGTACATTGCGACCGTCATGAGAACGAACTTGAAATAGAAATAGTCTATTGTCTAGAAGGGATTACTCACGTTTGTACATGACAGTTTGTCAAATATTGTCCGTTGCTCTCAGGGCCCGCCAGCACACCATGAACGAGGGCTCGGCTGCCCATCTCCGTAGTCCGCGCCATGAAGTCTGGTGGTGCCGCACTTTCAATTTCGCGCAATAAACCCGACTTGCAGTAACTCGGATTTGGCGTATTGATGATCACAACTGGCTTGCCCGACGCCTTCATCTGTGAAGCGAGCTCGCGAACAGCATAGAGGATCAAAAGTTTGGCGATGTAATAGCGAGTGGTCATGTTGGCCTTTTTAGAATCGTTGAGAAGAGAGAAGATGGAAGCATTATCGTTTGAAGTAAGCTCTTTCACTGAAGCCACATAATGCAAAGCCGAATTCGGAATGACAAACTTGCCAGGGAACGGTGACTGACGCAACTTGGGAAGGAGAAGAAGAAATAGCAGAACTTGAGCCACGACATCAACCTGGATGGTCTTCTCATTGCCTTCTGCAAGGCTGAACTCAGACGTCCAGAGGCCGGCGTTGGCTAGGACTACATCGAGACGGGCGAGAGTGGTATTGGCTCGATGGGCGAAAGCTTTGATAGATTCATAACTCTCCATATCCAGTTGCCAAACTTCGACAGAGTCCGAGGATCGGGAAGTGGATTTCAAGAGTTCTGATCGCGCCTTTTCTCCTTTTCCAATGTTACGGACGGCCATAATTAGCTTCCCTACACCAATTCGGAGGAGATGCTGGCTCGCTTCAAATCCGAGTCCAGTATTCGAACCAGTAACGATAACGGTCAGCTCGGACAAGCCTGCCTGAGTCTCTGGATAGGGAAGTGTGACGAATAAGTTCGACAGGACAGTCGACCCCATTCCGTGGATAACTGATAAAATAGACATGTCTGCTAGAGGTCGGCAGAATGGGGTGCTGCGATGTATTGCGAAAAGTTAGAGCTGGATTTACAGAGCACAATCAATGTTCTCGATATTTGATCTAGAGCATTCCAAATATGTTGGTTCATGGGGACGTTTAAGTACTATTCCAGCTTTCACAACACTTCGCAGTTAGAGCGGGTGTATTGTCTCCGCGTCTAATGTGTGATCAACTGTCCCCTTTGGGCCGCCCATGTCTGAATGGCTAACTCCGTCTAGGAGAGGCGTCGTGACTCGCGCGCACAGAATCTGTGGAGCGGAGTTATTAACCCCGCCCCGAAAACGTTAACCACAGCCCCTCTGGAGAAGCAACATTCCAGACCTGCACTGTACTAAATTCTGTCTTAATTGACGAAGACGACGCGGAATCTTGGAAAGCCGCCCTGCAGAGTCTTCGATTTTCTTTCTTATTTTATTGCATCCGCTACCCTCCAACCATCACCATTCAGTGCTATGGGGGAAGCCAGAATAGAGAAGCGGAACAGGCCGCCTAAATCCTGTGAGCCTTGTCGCATTCGCAAGTGAGTTTAGGGGGTTTCCAAGCCAGTGACGCTGTCGCGGGGCGAAGACTTCAGCTCTTCGTGAAGCGCAACAGCAGCTAAACCATCGCCAGGCTGAAATGTAATCGAGCTTTGCCATGTGATAGCTGCGTCAGAAGGGGCAAGGACTCGATTTGTCAATATGCCCCTAATGCCGACAGGAACGAGAAACGCGAAATCAAAACCAAGTCAATCAGTGATCGCCTAAAGAGTGTCGAGGATCTCGTCTCGTCTCTAGCGCGCAATGATGCCACTGCAGGCACCCAGGCTGCGAAAGCCCCTGCAGAAGACCTATCAATGACAGATGATGCAGACTTTATATCTGTCCCTCATTCATCGATCAACACCAACATAGTCCTCGACAATGGCTTACTGGGTGGCGATAAGGCGACCTACTTGGATTCCAGTCACTGGTCATCGCTCCTTGAGGATATTAGAGAAATTAGAGAACAACTCTCTCCTTCAAATGTTGATGAACAGTCTTCGACAGTTCAGTCAGCATCTGCAGATACGGAGTGGACTGCTAAGGAGGATAACCGGGCTGAGGTCGACTTGGTCTTTGGACGACAGGAGGCCCTTAACTTTCAAGACCTATTACAGTCCGTGCCATCACGCCAGGTCTGTGATAGCCTTGTGTCACAGTACTTTCGCCCAGGAGACGCCATTTTGCGTAAGATCCGTTCATAAAAGCCTGTTCTAGTCTGACTGGTAATGCTCATCTGCCTTGTCTTAGCTATACTACATCCTGCTAAATTCCAACGTGAGGTGAGGTGGAGAAGATGTCACAGAAGTCTTCCAGGCCGTGGCTAATGAGGCATGTGTAGTACGAGTCTTTCTGGGCAGCCCCGACTGAGACCTCCCCGATTTGGGTCGCTTTGCTCTTTGCGATTTTGAATTTAACAGCAAGCGTGCATGAGATATCCAACCAAAACAAAAGCTCAGAGAACTCCATCCCCTCGGCTAGGTTGTTCTCGAAGAGGATGGAGCAATGCCTTGTTCTCGGAAACTATGCCCGAGCGGACGAGTACTGCTTAGAAGCCCTATTAATTCATCTGCAAAGTTGTTTTTTGAGATCGAGGGACTCAGACGTCAATCTATGGCTTTTGATGGGGGTTGTCACACGGCTAGCCATTCGCTTAGGGTATCATCGCGACCCTTCAAAACTCCCGAAATCAAGTCTATCTCCATTCGATGGCGAGATGCGTCGCAGGGTATGGGTCAGCATATTTCAAGTCGACACGCTCATGTCATTTCAGATGGGGTTTCCCAGCATGATTCCCTCTGCATATTGCGATGCTCAGCTACCCCTAAATCTGGAGAATCATGACTTTTCCCCGGAGAGTGCGGTGCTTCCTACGTCACGTCCGCTTTCCGATAATACTCCAGTGCTATATACAATTGGCAAGGCTGCCGTTGTGGAACTATTCAGAACCGTTGTCGGCCATACACGTTCTCTGATACCCTCGCCTTATGAGACCACACTGGCTCTGGATGCCCAGCTCCGAGATGCATATGTACAACTGCCAGTCAGCTTAAAATACAAACCTCTGAGCCAATCTATCATTGACAGTCCTGGGATGATCATGAAACGTACAACTATCGAGATACTTCACCTCAAAAGCGTCATAGTTCTTCACAGGCAGTACATCACTTCACATCGCCAGAATTCTGCCTACGATTTGTCACGGTGTGCGTGCCTCGAGGCAGCCAGTACTGTTCTCGACCGACAGGCGGAACTGCATCGGGCTACCCAGCCAGGAAGTCATCTTCATGATGATCGATGGATGGTGTCCGCTCTCACTGCGAGTGATTTCATTCTCGCGGCCATGATCATCTGCCTCGAACTTGCGATCAGAACAAAGGAAGCAGATACCTCAACAACTATCAAGACGTCCAGATACGAAAGCTATAGTGCCGAGTACGCAGAATATCTACGTGGGATTCAAGTCTCTCACCAGATCTGGCTGGTAGCGAGTGCATATTCTGTAGAAGCGCGCATGGCTGCACATGCCCTAGGGTCAACGATCGAGAGAGTGCAGGCTCATAGAGAAATGCTATCTAAACGTCAGACATCCAATGCTCTGAACCCTGGAACATTCCAGCCGAGCTCAATGTCCCAGGTTGAACTGCCTCTTGCCTTGGACCAGGATTTTGGACTTATGGATGGAATGGAATATATTGATTGGGTGAGTACTACAAGCCTATTTCCTAGTAGTGCATATTGCAACTATGATCTTGTTTTGCTTTGTGCCGGACCAAGAGCAACTACTGACCTAACATGTCTCTATCCAGGGCGTCCTTGACAATCAATTTCAGATCCCGGATGGTGTAGAAGTAGACTTGGATTCGTGGATCATTGACACAGTTGGGCCGTGGGGTCCCTCACAGTCGTTCTAGGGAGTGTGGCCTTTAAAGATGCTATCTTGGCAGGTGCTATCTACCCACACGAACTTCATTATGTATCACAGACTTGTTTTTGATGTGAAGTCCTAACCATTAAAGCAACGAAGAAGTATTTACACAAATAAGCCTTCAAACTGTCACAGCGGAACCAAGGGTGTAAGTGACAACCGAGCCCGACAACTTTGTCCAGTAGATCAGCGGCTCAGTCCCAACCTTATCCTGTGTATTACCACTGCTGGATGTTGTGGCTGTGCCGGGGAATGTCACCGGAACATTAACGGCACATGTATTGCCGTTAGCCTTGACCGTGACACTAACAATGGTTTTCCCATCGTTGGCATAGTTATAGGTCAGGTTGGGATTGCATGCGCTACGGGGTATTATTAGCACAAGATCCCAAGTCTCATGTGGCCAACCAGGATAGGACAGGCTCGATACTTACTCAAGAGTAACACGGTCTGTAAATAGCTTTCCTATATCATCATGCTTTAAGCTGAAGACAGGCCATTTGGTAAGTCGCACTAACTCCTGGGTGATTGTCTCAACCCAGATTTGCAGCAATGACAACTTGCCAGTTTGAGAGCCGACAGTGATGGTGTCGGTATCCCCTTGACGCATATTAGCCTGATGGAACATGTACCTGTAGAATGTAATTGTTAGCATCTGTCATTATGAGTAGAAACGATATGGAACGCAAAAACGTGACATGACGTACGGATCAGGATGAAGACCAAGTAGGTAACGTGTGTTCACAGCACGAGCGTCATTGAGCAAATCTGTAAAGGTCCCACTGCCTCCGGATGTAGCGATCCATTCTGCAAGAGTGCATGCAGCTTTGTCACAATTGTAATAGATTGTGGTCGCTTTTTATAGAAGTCAGCAATAAGCTTGTCGAAAGAAACACGTTTGACTTTACCCCATCTAGGAATAATGATAAGGCCAGCATAGCCGTTGTTAGCAACATTGGTGACAAGAGGATAAAATGAATTTGTCTAATCTGAGGGTTAGCCGAAAAAGAAGCTATGGCAATTGAATTCTTTCTTACCGGATGACGCAGTACGGGCCGAGTGTTGTCGCCAACGACATACTTGATGCCGTTATCCATCCAGGCCTTAATGGCGTCACCATTATGTAGACCAGTAATAGCAGGAGGGATTAAGCCGGTGGTTGAGAACTTGTTGGATGTCCACAATCCGATCTGCTTCAACCAGGCAATATTGAAGTAGATTTCTCGTGAAGCATCATGGTAGGTGGCGTTATTGAGCTCCTCGTGAGTGAACGTGTGCGACAGAGCGGCGAACGTACTGGGGTTGTTATAAAACCATGTGGCAATGCTATCGAGCTTTGCGCAAGTCAAGCTCCAGGTGTAGTTATTGAATTCTGGTGGCCACAGATCAGTACCAGTTCCCAAGGGCTTCTGAAACTCCAACGGGGTATCCGGAGGCGAGTCATAGTCTACGGCGTAAGGCGGTGTGCAGGCAGTTTGTCCCTGGCTTGTGTCGGTAGCGACATCGATATCGCCATTACCATTATGGCCAATCTCTACGAAATAATTAGATCCAGTATTAAGGCGTGTGTTGATGTTTGTTTGCCAGGTTTTGTGGGCGTTTAGATCACTAGTACGGATGCGGAAAACAGAGCCAGACGGTGAATATAATTCGGTATCCAGGTGCATATCATCTACTTGTGTATTCAGATACACCTTACGCTTTCCGACAACTTTAAGAAGTTAGTAAACCCTCATTACCTTTTAGGAGGAGGGTGCTTTGAACACTTACACAGACCGCGCGTTATCCAGTGGATGTAAGCGTGCTGTAGATAATTGGAGGTCAAAGACCAGTCCGTAGCCCACCCGATGAAAAACACCATCTGCTTGCGAGTGCCAATAGTGTTGATCACTGCGGCAGTTGTGTCAGTTGTGAAAGACCCGGATGGTGCAAACTTGGCAATTTGCTTGGCAATAGTAGCATTGGTGATGGTAGCTGGGTAATGCCATAGCCCCTGGGTGCTCACAGTGGCAGCACTTTGGAAAGATCAGTAATATCCACGACACTTACTACGCAGCATGACATACGTTTTGATATTTGCTGTAGGAAAATCTGTTGCGTCGGTGAAGCTGACAAGCTGTTCAACTCCTGTATTACAGCAGCCTGCACCGGCGATGGCTGTAGTAACACCTAATTCCGAGTTAGACGCTATGTTCTCCAAGTACGACCCGTAGATTAACTGGTCACGACCAGGGACAGGACTTACCCATGTCAGGGCCAGGGTACACATCTAGCCTTACCATACGAACGCCAAAGCTTGTCTGATAGTTGTACAACGTCTGCCATTGAGCAGTTGTGAGAGCGCTAGCAAAGCCGGTCGAGTAACTGTACGCGACCTCACTCAAAACAACTATGCCACCATAGTTACCGACAGTGGACGATGAGTTTAGAGTTGGCAGGGTGATGCCACTCTGTGGTACAATAACGGTTTGATATGGAATGCCATATCCCTGGAAGCCGGACGTTGCCGAAGTTGCGGATGCAGTATCACGAGCAAACACAAGAATTGTGTTAGACACGGAAATCGCGGCCTCCGAGAGGCTAGCCTGCAGAGCCAACAGCGTGCCCAGGGCAGCGCCCTTGATCATCCACTTCATGTTGTGTAATATTTCTGATCAGTGAGACAACGAGTGTTTGTATGGAGAATGAGAGACTAAAAAGGCATGAAGGATCCGGTAAAGATAACAAGTAGACTGTGCCGGAGCAGGCAGCGAGATATCGCAGACAAATGGGCACAATAAATCAGCCTAAAAGCCAGAGACGAAGGAGTCGGGTTTTAAGAACTGATCAAACAGGCGGCTGAAAACCCTTCATGAGATGGACTTGTGAGAACCACGGGTGAGCCTAAGGTGAAAGCTTGTTGACACTTGCCCAAGTAGCACTCCTGCATTTTTTCGTCCCACAAGGCTGGCCAGGGGTCAGATTCCCTTGTCCAGAAATTCTATCACTATTGGAGAAAAAACATATAGAGACAACGAGTGTCACTTCAGCTCTATTACGAGTAGCTCTGACCCTTCAATCGGGAATAGGTCAATGAGACTATTGAAAGCGGCAGTCGGGAGGGCGTGTCAGTTGTGCACACACGATGCCTGCCTGATATTGAGTGACACCGCATATTATTCCCTGATACGGAACCGTCGCAGGACCGTTGTTCAAAAACGGTATGTCTACCACCGTTAACCAAGTTTCCTGCTTTACTCGTATATGCGATCAGGGCTCTAGGAGCTGGATTGGCCAGGGAAACTTGCCACAACCACTAACCACACAAGTCGCAGTGAGCTTTGGTGTCCCAAGCAGGAGAAGACCAGCGAAAGAACAAAGTACATCCCTTGGATAGGTCGATCATAATAGCATCAAGTGGGTGTAGCCAAAAGGAGGCGGCTCACATATCACCACTGGTGGGTTCGGGGAGCCGGAGAGAGACATGCCAAGTGGGTGCAAACCGAGCCCGGGACGTACGTATACATGCATACATAGTAATGCATACCTGCATACAGGCCATCATACAGTGGCCCAAATATCCACTTGCCCTCCTTGGCTCCTGGGCACACAGCAAGGGGTTAGACGTTAGCGGGTGAACGGCACTTGGGATAGCTCGGGTGGCTGAGTCTTGCGCTGGCAGTTCCGCTGTCTCAGGGACGAGAGACAGGCTCAAGCAAGAAAAAGGAACAGCATGCATCGGGCTAAATAAAGACACGCTTCTAAAATTGCGCCATTGGCCGGTGGCCGTGCTGACCTGAATGCGGTGTGAGGTCGAGTGGCTATCAGCGAAGGGAAACAATTGTTAGTGTGTCTGGGCAACTTCGTGTCCTAGGCGCCACAACAAGCACCCCGCACGACCTGAATCGGCTTCTGTCTTTGACATCAATGTAGTCTGACTACCGAGTATCACTTCACTTCATCTGGTCCATTGAGGCTAACACCTCTTCCGAGGCCTCCGTATTGAACCTGAAGAGTCCTGTCAAAGCGCCTTATGAGTTAGTGCCTCAAAGCGGAAGCCCTTGCATTATTCTCAGCCTCACTTGCTGCAATTGCGCGATCTTGGTTTCCTACAGCAAAAGTCTCGCCCGGCTGACCCGGCGCACGATGCAGTCGGCCCACGATTACGGCTGTACCCAACTTAACAGTCACGACTTAGTCTAGCGAGCCTGATCAGTCGAATTCAACGTACGCACCAAGACTCCTGTGAGGGTCTTGGAGAATTACGCGCTCGGGCGATTGTCTCCTGTTGTATTGCTTGAGCGCGGAATTGCTGTTGTCTTACAGCATGTCGGGATAACCTTACAGCACTGCTGTCCTGCCCCCAAGCCTCTGTTATCCTCGGTATGACTAGTCTCACATTGAGCACTCTCTGCGCAACCCTGGGACTCGAATCTTGAGAGTTGAGAAGAGTCTTTGTTCGCAGCTTTCTCAATTGACATCAATATCGGTCTAGATCGTTTCCACCGCAGCGCGCTTAGCGGTTCCGGCGCAGCGGAAAGCAGAAGGATCAATTGCCCTGTCTGTGCCGCTTCTAGCTCCAATTCTGCGCTGCTGAGCCCCGTGCAACGTCGCACCTCATTTCGCCGGTGCCTGTTCGGACTCGAATTTGCTTTCTACTTCCCTTCTATGCCTCAAAAAGTCGCTGTGGCTCCCTGTTCTTATTGCTGCCGGTTCTGCGAAGTTCCTCTTAAGTTCCGAGCGTTTCCTGGGAAACAGGGCCACACACTTGTCACGATGACTACAAGAGAAAGAGCAGTGGACACCAGTCCTGACGGCCAGGGCCACAAGGGAGATTTGCACGGAACACAACAGCGCTCGGGTTTTCGACGGCGCACGATAATCATTTCAGCAATTGTTGGTGTGATTATTGTACTGGGACTCGCCCTCGGACTTGGACTGGGACTAGGCCTTCACCATGGCGAAGGACGAGGGGAAGGGGAAGAGACCCCGACGCCTTCCGGAACTTCGACACCTGTTCCGACACCGTCTTCCACGCCGGCCGGGGTGTGGCAACCAGCAGTCAATGCGTCATGGCAGATTATCCTCAGCAAGACTCTGGACATCGATGAGAGTGCCCCGAGCGTGGAGCCTGACGTCGCTGTGTTTGATATCGATATGTTTCTTCATCAGAACAACACTATCATCGATAGCTTGCACAAGCTTGGAAAGAAAGTCATTTGCTACTTCAGCGCTGGGTCCTACGAAGATTATCGTCCGGACTCATGGCAGTTCAAGAAGGCTGATCTTGGATCAGAATTGGATGGCTGGCCAGGGGAGTATTGGCTAAACATCAGCAGCCCTGATGTCCGCGATATCATGGCTACCAGGATTGAGATTGCGAGTCAAATAGGCTGTGATGCCGTAGATCCTGACAATGTGGACGGCTTTGTAGGTAGCATCCCTCAGAAATCCCTCTTCAGAAGACTGACTGACTGACTGACTGGCTTGCTTTCAATTAGCAAAATGAAAACGGATTTGACCTGACTGCGCAAGACTCGATCGACTTTGTTAAGTTTCTTGCAAAAGAAGCTAGGAATCGCAAGCTTGGGGTTGGCCTGAAAAATGCAGGCGACATAATTTCCGATGTCCTTTCCGTTGTTCAGTTTCAAGTCAACGAGCAGTGTGCCGAATATGACGAATGCGACACCTTCGCCGCCTTCATCGACGCAGGCAAGCCTGTCTTCCACATCGAGTACCCCAAAGGCACACCCGACAGTGTCTCGGCGAATGCTTTGACGAGCGACTGCTCGGCATCAGACTCGGACAATTTTAGCACAGTCATCAAGACGATGGATCTAGACGGATGGGTCGAGTACTGCAATGGGCAGAAAGCTGAGACTGCCGTGACATCATGATTGGCAGAATGCCGACTCACCACCTCCGAAACCATGCAATATCTGACGCACGCACTTTGGGATGGGGTTGGAGCTAGGCGTTTTTCAGATATCGCGCGATTTGATTCATGTCCTGGCTAGGTCCGGCTGCCTTTCCTACATTGACACCGCGATGAGCCTCATCAAAGCCCTGCATTCTCTTCTACCCCACACCCAGCTGCCGCTGCATCTTCTCAACCAAACTCCTGTCATTGTTCTTCCCCACCCAATTGCCAACAACCACGCACCCTTGATGTGCCTCGTTTTGTTCTTGCCAAGACAAGCCCCTTTCAATAATCCGCTTCCAATGCAGCTCTTGCGAGAACATGCAAGTAGAATAAGCCAATTTAGCTTCGGTGCCTGGTTACTTAGAGGTGTTGGCTAGGCACAATCGCATGTCAGCAGGTTTTTGCTTCTGTCCTGTCAAGCGAATAGAGATTCTGATGTCGGAAGGTGACACTTCTCTAGGTCACCGGCCCAAAATCAGACCGTCGGACCATCCCAGTTCCTGCATTTCTAGCCGCCATTTCTCACATATATGCCGGAAGCGCCCGACCACACCCGTCTCAGCCCCATTTCTTACAACATCCAGTCACACAAATGGCTCAGCAAAAGTCACCTTTCATACTTGTTCCTCTGTACATATACCCGACTCCGACGTCCTGGGAACCTCTTTTCTTGGCGGCGAAGTCGTGCCCGGATTTGGAATTCTTGGTTGTGGTGAACCCGGGTAATGGACCCGGACCTGAAGCGATGCCTGATGTGAACTACCTTGACGCTTTGGGAAAGCTGTCCATGATCCCGAATGCCAAGGTCATTGGCTATGTGCACTGCAGCTACGGCAAACGGGCGACCACGGCTATCGAGAAAGATATCCTAACATATCAAGGCTGGAAAATCAAGGACGGCATCAGTGTAAACCCACCGTTGCCTGATATTATTCCGTCACTAACACCTTCTAGCATATTCGCATGGAAGGCATTTTCTTTGACGAAGTTCCATCCAGTACTGTCTATGTCCAGTACATGGCGAATCTGTCCCGAGCCGTGAGGAAAGCCCTGGAGTCGTCTGACGGCGAAGCTGGTCGAAACAGCACAGTGATTTACAATCCTGGTGTCGTAATTGATCCTGCTTTCTATCAAACAGCCGACTTTGTTGTGGCCTTCGAGAATCAGGCCACGCAATGGGACTCAACCGTCGTACGAGGAGCCATGGCTGCGCTTCCTACTACCTTACGGGCCAAGTCTGTGGCCATCGCGCACAGCTCTCCTAACCTGCATGACGCCTTACAACTCGCCGAGAAGGTCCATCGTGAGGGGTTTGTAGGTCAATTCATCACCACCCAGCCCGGATATACGGCATGGTGCCTGAAATGGGATGCATACGTCCAGAAGGTTCGAGGGCTTACTGGACATGAGCAATAGGGTATTGGCCACTGGCCAGTGGCGATATTGCGAAGGAGCATGCATCATGCAGTGCTGACTATATTGGTCTTGTCAATTCCTACTCAATACGAAATCTGTCTATCTATCAATCCCACGTTCGCCTGGCAATGTGATTATTTCGCCATATCATGATTGCGATCGAGCCGACATCTTGTCAATCTGCCAAGAAGCGCTTTGCTTGATGACCGCGTCTGTAGAGTTGAGGTTGCTGCAAGGATTCAATATCTTTACGTAAATCCAAGCCTCTGGCTTTTTGGGGGCCGGTACCAGGAAGCATCTGATAAAGTCGTGGCAGGCATCAAAGTGCGGAGAGGGGCAGATGCGAGTGGATGTTGAGGGTCTGGTGGCGTCGGCCAGTGGTCAGAGAAGCATGCATATATGCAGACTCGATAATCGCATACATTCCACCCCTGTAACTAGGCATGCACCTTGTCCAAGGTATAGGTACCGATTACTTAGGACCGTATTGATACCCTGCCTGTAGACAGTCAGAAGTCGCATGAGGCTTAGATCACATCATCGAATTGCAACATGCGTAGCTGCAACGGCTGCATTAGAGCATTTAAAAATGCTACCTTATACGAACCTGCTCAACTTCATGTTTCATGCAGTTGAAATAATCCCTGGAAAGCTGTGGTTGAACGTGCGTTAGTGCTGGCTGAGTCTACTGTCTCACTGGAGGTTTCTTTTTCTCCCGCGCCGTTATTGACCAGGACACGATGAGTTGCAAAACAACATGGCAGGTTCAGTGAGCTATTCTCAGCTGGCATACGCTCCCTTGACCCTTGCGGCTCCTCATCCATCCGGACAATGGACCTCGGGGAATGTCTGAGACAACATTGGCAACGTGTAACCGCCACCTGCTTTGCTGGATCCACTTACCTAGATCTCCCGTTCAGAGCACTGCCATCTCGTATTTGATTGAGATGTAAGGCAAGGAACAGTTCCAAAAGTAGATCAGGACTGGAGATTGCCCTACAATACTTTCGCAGAAAGCCGGATGATTCCCCACCTCTTAATATCCCGTGAAATTTGTTTAGCAGTTTAGCTAAATCGTCCGTTCGCTTTGCCTCGCCTTTGCCCACCATCGCTCCATAGCAACGATGAAGCCTTCGTTTCTTCTCGTAGCTGCTATCTCAGCATTATCTTTGGCAACACCGATGCCAGATGATGACTTGGTCTTCCCCGCTGGACTTGTGCCCCGAGCGAAGCACAAACCCCATTACCATAAACATCGCACTCCTGACTTCCGCAAGCCCTGTGTCTGTCCTCAGGCTGTCTGTCCCTCGTTCTTGAATAAGAAGAGCGTAAGTGCAGTCTTGGTTTGACTTGATGTTTTCATTCTGCCAGGAAGTCGTCGAACGACGGCTAACAATGCCGTTTTAGTTGTGTGAGTGCAAAGCCGCTGCTGCTGAGGCATGCTACTTCAACTCCGAGCGCGGCTGCACTAAGCCAGTTGCTAAGGTTAGTAATGAAGTAAGATCTCTCATTGTGTTGCTTCCTTAACAGCATTGACAGGCCTGTTGAAGAGGGCAAGAAAAGTGGCGAGCTTTGGTGGAGCTTTGTTTGGTCAACTCGACCACCGGGTTCATCGAGGTGTTGAGGGCTTAGGTAGATACTTAGTTAAATGTCAATCAATTATTAATCAAGTATCATCTATGATTTCCAAAGTTCACATATGTATGTATGCTTATGGGACCAACCCAGCACAGTATAAGCCTAATCTTAGGAGATGACATTCAAAGTGACGGTGTGTTTCTCAAGCTCGTTGCTTTGGCATGGTAGTCAAGCTGGGGGAGCTCTCTCCAATTTCAACACTGTGAGTCGAATCAGGTGCATGATATTGCAGGCAAAATCAATCACCAAAAAGGAAGTTGCCGTTTTAAGAAGGGGCGATGTTACGGCCCTAGGATCTAAGTAGGCTAATGAATTAGAGTTGTTTTAGGTGCCTATACCTTATTGTCCTACCCCACCGCACCAACCATGGGTCTATCCCGTGAGGCTCAGAGACGGCGAAAGCCTAACGTCACCTCAAATTTTCCTGGCATTACCATTGCCGCGCCATAACCAGATTGCACCATTAAATCATCTTAGACGAGATAATACATGTTCAAGCGAGTGTATTTACCGCAACTGGCTTTTCCCTTGTGTGTAGACCGGTGCTTCGCTGTACGTAGTTCCACAAATCAATGGCACACCGAGTGATGCTTTCGCGCGGCCGCCAGCCAAGCTCACTCTCCGCTCTACGGGTCGATGCGACGCACACACCGACATCGCCTGGCCTCCTCTCAACCCACCGCAATGGTATGGGTAGTTTTGCGGCCGCCTCCAAGCTCCTGACAGCTTCAAGCACGGTAGTGCCCGTTCCACTGCCCAGATTGTATGCGCGAAACCCGGACTCCACTGTCTCTCCACGTGGACGCAGAGCCGCGATATGTCCTCGGGCGACGTCAAGGACATGAATAAAATCACGGATGGCAGTGCCATCGCGTGTAGACCAATCGGCACCAAATACCTCAAGTGCCGGTCGTTTACCGATCAAAACTTGTGCAAGCACTGGGTAGAGATTGGTCGCTGTGGTGCGCGGGTTCTCTCCTAGTAGACCCGACGGATCGCCGCCCACAGGATTGAAGTATCGAAGCGCGACAATGTGCCATCTTGAGTCGGCTACAGCAAGGTCAGAAAGGATGGCCTCGCTAAAGTATTTTGTACGCGCGTAAGGGCATGTCAATCCTGACACGACGGGTTCGATACGCGTCCGCACTCCCAACTCGTCAATCACATCTTCTCGATGATGTATGAGATCTTCTTCGCGTAATGGAGCTCCCAGGTCTGCTTTAGATCCGTAGACTGTTGCAGAACTGCTGAATATGAAGTTGCGGATGTTGTATCTATCCAGTAGCTCCAGGAGTGAGACGAGACCGCTCACATTATTCTTGTAGTATTGCAGAGGCCTGCCAATGGATTCAGCGACCGACTTGTAGGCGGCAAAATGAATTACACCGGTGATTCTCGAACGATACAGCATGTCTCTGTAATCTCTGTTTCCGGAAGTTGGCGTCGCGAGATCTGCATAACTTTCTAGAAGAAAACGCATTGATCGACTACGATAGTCGACTCTATGAAAATGTAACAAGGGCACAGGAACATCCTTTGACAAGCAATGTTGCCCGATAAGCTTCTTTATATTGTGCAGAACACTTTCATATGAGTTGCTGAGATTGTCGACGACGATTACTGGAGGTAGTTAGAAGAGAATGGAACCCTATCCAAGGCAATATTAGAATTTTCATACCATTATAACCCTCTCTCAGCAGCTCTAGAACCGTGTGCGAGCCAATATAGCCGAGGCCGCCGATCACAAGGATGTAAGATGGACTGTCCGCTTGTGTTGACAATATGCCACTGGTTTGACCGTTGAAAAAGATTGACGGTGGAGGGTCGTCGATCTCTGATATGTCAGGAGTTGTAAGCGGTGATGTTGCAGAAGAGAGGTCGATCATGGAGCCATCCAGTGATGACGGTGGAGAGTCGGGATACATGTCGATGGGCACGTCTGGAGAGGACATGGACAAATCACTCGCCATGGTAGAATAGGCACTATGATTGCGCTTATGGCGGTATCATGGCAGTGAGAAAGATGGGTGAGGTTTTAAACGAGTGAGGATTGGCTTGGTGAAGGGAAAAGTGCAAGAAAGCCAAATGGTCTATACTTCGATCCGACGTCAACAAGTAACTAGAAATTAGGTCATAACAGGGCATGAGCACATTTGGGGCTGCTATTGTGATGAAGAAACAGCTCAGAGGTAATAAGATGTCAAAACAGCGAGTACAAGCCTTGTCAGCTTTCAAAGATCAAGACGGACTTCACGGCTCACAGCGTAACGGATGTGTCCCGACTGAGAGATTAAGATTAAACAAGGGAGATCAGTTTGATCAGTAGAGCCCTTATTGAAGGGCATAGAAGGACGGATCCAGCAAAAGAGGTGATACGGTCATCGTCACGATTTGACCCGTTGTCCAGCCAAACTTACGAACGGTAGTGCAGGGTCGTATGCTCTGACATCGGCCATGTAATACGGTACCGAGACGGTGGTGCAATGATCTGCTCATTTTATTGACTTGACGTGTCCGGCGTTCACCCCGAATGCTTGCATCAACTCCCAATACTATTGTGGTCACACAGTCCGCATGCGAATACCTGAGGTGAACGCCTGACCAAGACAGTCATATTGAATATTGGGTGAAGAAAGGGACTGACTTGACGGAGACCTGACATACGTGGTGGCTATCACACGGTTACATGGAGGCTCTTCTGACGTGTGATCATCCACAATCTGTCTTCCTTGCCTGAGCAGCTGAAACGTACAGGGCGACTATTGAAAGCTCATGCGGATCTAGTCGCATCATATGACCTCAGATAGGCACCATATTCTTTGAATGCGCTGTCCAGCATACAGTTGGTTATTCAATACGGTTGAGAACAACTTGCATGGCATACTGCAGACCAGCACGAATATCTGGGGAAGTATCTATAGGTGTTGGAGAGGGCATGGGTTCCTTGCGTTCAAATACGAGATACTGGTAACAGACCTTCTCGGATGTAGCGGAAATGGAAGCTTATGCACTCAGACCCGCTGTCACTGACAATAGACCTTTGTACCATGCATTACTTCTTGAGTAAGTATATCAGGTGGGCTGGAAGGTCCCTGGGTAATGGGCTGACCGAACTCATCATCCTATAATAGAGCAGAGACATTCTGCTACGTCTAATGAGCGAAACCCAGCTATGGCGCATTCACGTATTAAACTGCCGTATAAAAGAGGCTCCAGACTTGACGAAGCCCTGAGTACATTTGGAAATTCCAGTGCCCTTACATTTGTGTGACCTTGGCAAAGCCCATCACGTCAATGCTGAAAGGGCAGTTTAATCAGGATTCTCGGAATATTCCCGCACTCGAAGAAAATAATGTTACACA